CCTTCCAATCTGGACGCCTGGGTGACAGCTGGCGAAGTGTGAGTCGTGCGAGGAACAAGAGGACGACCCAAGCAGAGTGTGAGTCTGGATCGTTCGCCAACCGCAGCAGAGGCACCAGCAGGGCGGTGGCGAAAAGTTTGCGAGGGTCGGGTGGGAGGTGGCGGGAGAGTGGTGCGTGGCGACTGTCGCGCAATTTCGTCAGGTCCCATCTTCCAACCCCAGCGAATAGCACGTCGTCCTTGGCGAGTGTTTCTGGGGATTTTTCCTCTCGCGCGTGGGTTGGGATGGGGTTACCGCCAGGTGCAGATTGTGGGGCGGCTCGGGAATGGGTTGGAGTGTGGGAAATTGGTGGTGGGGGTGGGGGGTTTGCAATGTTGCCCGATGCGGCTCGGGTTGGTGTTGGGGGTCCCCTCCGTGTGGATCTCGCAACTGAGGATCCTCCCGCCCTGTGAGTTGGGGCTGCTCTGGTTGCTCTAGCAGGAGTCTGGGTTTGGGGTTCATCCACAGACTCAGAGCTAGAAGTCGAGTCTGTGGATTCCGCAGGTACAAAGCTGCTGCCTGATGATGTCTCCTCATTATCATCTTCCAGCTCGTTTAAAGCCCTCCGTCCCGATTGTTGATACACATTCTCAGGTCCTCCTCCGCTAGCCCGTCGTCCGCGTCCCGCTGCTCCCCGTCCGCCACGTCGACCGCCTGCTGAGCGAGCGACATCCTCCCCGCGCTCCAATGTCTGCTGATGGCGGCCATGGTCGGGAGCGCATCGCGGAGAGCGGTTCTGCTCCTCGTCCGCTCCCCCCCGCGCGTCCCGCTGCGAGCGTGCCCGTTGCTCCGCTGGCATCTGCTGATCAGATACGCCGTCGCTTCGAGGATCTGCGGCGCGATCTGACTCCACGTGGCGGAAATTCCCTGCCGCAGAAGGAGCCTGCCCGCCAGGCGTCCGTCGTGCGCTCCGGCGTAGAGGCTGCGGCGCCCCGGGCACGATCGCCTCGCCGTCGTTCGTCTGAGGCGCGTGACGACAGGCAGGGGAGCCGCCGTGGCGGTCGTCACCTTGAGCCGCGATCGTCACGATCTCCGCGCCTGCATCGTTCGCCGCGATCTCCTCGTCGCGTCGTGTCTCGTAGCCAGTCTCGTGACCACCGATCCCGCCGTCATCGTTCGCCCGCTCGTCCTCCCTCTCGCCACCGATCGCCAGCTCACCATACCACCCGCCCGCGTTCGCCTCCTCGTTCGCCTCGTCCGGCAAAGCGCCAACGGCTCGACTCTCCTCGTCGCAAGGGCCGATCCCCTGAACGCCGCCGTCAGCATGCCTCATCCCGCCCCCAGTCGCCCGCGCGCTCGAACGCAAGCGGTCGAGGTCGTCGTGGGCGTCGAGGCGGATATGGACGTGGTGGTGCGGCGCGTCCCGTACCGTCCGAGATGGAGCGTGTGTTGGAAAAGCTTGACGGCGTGGAGAAGGCTCTCCACCGTTCGAATGCTGCATCGTCGTCGCGGTCCATTCCGCCCTCTGGTCGCGTCGCTCCTCTTGCTGCTCTTCTGCCGCACAACCCCGTTGGTTCCCCGGCGCGCTCAGATCGGCCGCTGCCTGCGGGAGGTGGATTTGTTGGTGCTGCTGGCGGGGATCCGTGGGCCCCGTACGCTCCGCCACATCCTCTCCCTGCTCCTCGCGATCTAGCCGTGTCTTCCCGCCGAGCTCGGTCGTCCGCCCTTCCTCCGCCGATGAAGGAAGTGCCCACGGCGACCCTAGCACGCCTGTGGTCGCTGGCGGAGTGCCTGCAGAGTCTTGGGTTGATCCTTCTGGAGTCCCATGACTCCATGCTCCTTGTGGAGTCCCTTGACTCCATGTCGGTGAACCCGCCGAGCACATTCTCTCAGAGGCCGCGAGCAAAGTGTCACGCGGCGGCGTCAACACTATTCTCGTATGTCGCATCACTGCCGGTTGCGCCCTCCGCGGTTGTAGCCTCGGCCAACCGGTTGGCTGTGAAGGTCCTGGATCTGAGGACGCTTGTTGCAACGCGTGGAACTCCAGTTGACGTTGTTGGCGCCATCGCGTCAGTGGTCCACCAGATGTGGCTGACCTCGCGCGAAACGCTTGGTGAGCTTGGGGCCGACCGCATGTAGGGGCCCCCTTTGCGCGTGTGTAGACCCGCTCCATTGTTTGTTGCCTAGTCCTTGCTTGTTGTTCTTGCTGTTGTTGTCATGTTGACCATCATCCTTATTGTCTTCTTGTCGTTCCCTAACGCGCGGCCGGAGGCCGCGCACGCGAGCGCCGGCGCGTAGCGCCGGCGCGAAGCGCCGAAATTTTCAGCACCAACTGAAAGAATGAGAGATGAAGTGGCCACCGTGGCCTTAAGTACTCATGGCAGAAGGCTGGAAACAGAGGGCAGAGGGTAGGAGGGGAGAAGCTAATCCTCTCTCTCTCGCTCTCTCGAGCGAAACACCGAAATTTTCAGCACCAACTGAAAGAATGAGAGATGAAGTGGCCACCGTGGCCTTAAGTACTCATGGCAGAAGGCTGGAAACAGAGGGCAGAGGGTAGGAGGGGAGAGGCTAATCCTCTCTCTCTCTCTCTCTCTCTCTCTCTCTCTCTCTCTCTCTCTCTCTCTCTCTCTCTCTCTCTCTCTCTCTCTCTCTCTCTCTCTCTCATTCTCTCTCTCTCTTTCCATCATTCATGCTATGTTCCCTTTCACTGTAATCACTGTGCAGCAATAAGCACATCTCGTCACTTCAAAGTCTCAAGTTCCCAGATATTTCCACCACAGCCGATGTTACGCTTGTAGACGCTGGTTTCTGGACGGTTTGTTTTTGCCATGAACCTGTGAACGCGTTCGGGTACTACCTTCCGAACTACCTCGAGTGGATTTACTCCCGAATGGAACTGGCTCAGCAGGAGCGGAAGCAGAAGCAGCAGCAGCAGCAGCAGCAGCAACAGCAGCTTCAGGGGCATGTCGAAACCAAGACATTGCCTGCCAAGGGCCCTTGGTTTCTGTACCGAAGCATCCCTCCTAAACGTCTCAACGACTTCTGTGGAGCGGGAACCAACACCCTCATTTCACACCTGAACAAAGTTGCTGCGGGGCACTTGGAACGTTATGGGCTGTCGTTTTTCAACGATTGGCTCATTGCAGCCCCCCGATCCGATGATACTTGTGGGCATAATGATATTCACTATACTTGCTTTTCCAGAGTCTGGAAAAGCCAAATACTGTTTTGGAGTAGGGAAACGGATGGAAGTTATGAGGGGCCTGTGGGAGAGGCGATGGTTTTGAACTTCGTTTACCATCTCTTGTATATGCTTGATTAAATCGTGTTGTAAACATAGTGCAACTCTCGCGATCACTCTAAGTGCACTCACTCGTAACAACATAAGATATTCGATGAATATTCGCGAAACTAGAGGCCTGTTTCTCTGTGTGTGACCAGATTGCGAAAGAACTTGCCTTCGCCTGCGTGGGGACGAGCGTAAGCGAATTTCGCGTTACCTTGCATAGTAGACCTTCGCTTCACACCATTCTGTTCTATGTGTAACCCAAGTTCCTGATCGATTTCCGCAGTGGGTCCGCACCGCACATAGTTGTCTCCTTTCAGACTAATAATCTTGAGTGTGTCATACTAGTAGTACATAACATATCCAGAACGGACGAATGCAGCATTTTTTTTGTCGCGTCGCGACCACTCTTAAAGCCACGCCTTTGTGCTTCAAGTGGGCCCTCGCCTGATGCTTATCGCGTGATTTAGTGCATTGTTCTAACCCGCCATTGCTCTCGCATTCTTCTCAGCTTTATCGAGTCGAGACGGGTGCAATTGCTCGCAGTTTCACTTCGCGAAGTGCCGTAGCTTACTCCCTCCGTCGTGATTTTCCTCTTGCGCTTTTTCGTCGTCTTATTTGACCGTTGACATCGGGTCGACGCGCTTCGGCGAGTGGTGGTGACACGCGCAATCGTTTGTAGGGCTTATTCGGCGGCAGGAAAACCTCCTTTGCGATTCCACAGCGACTGTTAGCGAAAGGTGCTCGTGAGCTGTACAGCTGGATACCGCACCGAATTCAAGTTGCCAGCGACGATTTCGACTTACGACGACTTCCCTTCAGTCTGGCGCTCGCGGCGACAAAACGGAATCCGTCAGAAAGATGGTCAGCCTCCGTCGGAGCATCTTCGCAATATGGTAGTGTCCATGCATGAAACAGCCGGATTTTTGTCCTAATTGGATTGATCCGATTCGATTGGATTCGATCCGATTTGTTTCATTGACAAACGGCACCGATTGAGCCACATTACGCCATGTTCCCGATGCTTCCAGGAACCTGCACTCTGACACCTACTCTTAATCCAGCCACTCACGCCACGCCACATGTCCTTTCCGCTGCGGAGGCAATTTCAATTAATATCCGTCCTTGTTCCGCCATCTCGGCTCGACCAATCAGAATCAGCCACGCACGGCGTTCTCTCAGCCAGAGTTCTCTCGCCGTCACACCCAGCACCAGCCGTCTAGTTAAACGCCCTGCCGGCAAGGAATGCAGATTCCGACGGTCGCTTTTCGGGAGCGCAGGAGCTCTTCGCTGCAACGGCAGTTCCGCCAATGGCCCGTCCGTCAGGCGTCCGTCAGTCAGCAGAAATAGCTGTCCGTCAGTCAGCGCCATGTCAGCAGACAGGATCATCCGTCCGTCAGTTATCGCCACGTCAGCTGGCAGGACTATCCACGTCATCACGGCCGCAGCAGCGGCTGCAGCAGTGGTGGCTGAGGGAATCATGGCTGCGCCAGCAGCAGCGGGAACAGTGGGGGCAGGAGTAGGAGCAGCAGCAGCGGGAACAGCGGGGGCAGGGGTAGGAGCAGCAGCAGCGGGAACAGCGGGGGCAGGGGTAGGAGCAGCAGCAGCGGCAGCAGCCGCATCATCATCATCATCAGCAGTGGGAGCGGTGCTGGCCGCGTGTGGCGTGAACACGTCTGTGCTGCGCGCGTCCCTGGGAGCCGCGTTTAAGCTCTTCACCATGTGTGGTGAGTCAATGCGAGCCCAGCCTCCTGACTCATGCCCACCCGCATTCGCTGTGCTGCGCGCGTCCCTGGGAGCCGCGTTCAAGCTGTTCGCCATGTGTGGTGAGCTGCTGCCTATCTCTCCCTCATGCTCACCCCTCATATGGGCAAGTTCTGAGAATTCCTGCTGTGCTGCTAGCGTCTCTGGGAGCCGCGTTCAAGCTGTTCGCCATGTGTGGTGAGCTGCTGCCTATCTCTCCCTCATGCTCACCCCTCATTTGGGCAAGTTCTGAGAATTCCTGCTGTGCTGCTAGCGTCTCTGGGAGCCGCGTTCAAGCTGTTCGCCATGTGTGGTGAGTCCATGCGGGCTCTGCCTCATACCTAATGCCTCATGCTCACCCGCATTCGCTGTGCTCGCTCTTGCTTGCTCTCTTCTCCCTTCCCTCTCACACGCCCTCCTCCCCCTCCGCGATGCGATGCGATGCGATGAGATGCGATGCGGTGCGGTGCGGTGCGATGCGATGCGATGTGATGTGCTGTGCCTCGTGTTCATCCCCCTTCCCTCCATCGTTATTGCACCCACCCCACCTTCCTACTCCCTCCTTCCAAACTCCTCCTCCATGCTCCCCCCAGCCTTCATCGTGTGGCTAATGAAGGCCAACGTCCTTCCTGAAGGCACCACCACACATGATGTGATCGCACCCACCCATCCCACCTCCCCACCCGCTACCTCCTTCCCTCTTTCCCTCCCTCCATGCTCCCCCCAGCCTTCATCGTGTGGCTAATGAAGGCCAACATTCTTCCTGAAGCCACGCCCTCGGTGCTCAGCCAGGTGCGGTTCAGGTGTTGTCAGGTGGGGTTCAGGTGTTGTCAGGTGGGGTTCAGGTGTTGTCAGGTGGGGTTCAGGTGTTGTCAGGTGGGGTTCAGGTGTTGTCAGGTGTTGTCAGGTGGGGTTCAGGTGTCTAAGCATCTGTGGTTCAGATGTCCAGTCAGCTGTTGTTGTTCGTATGTCCTTCCCCTCTTGTACGTTGACGCAAAAGTCCCTGTAAGCTGGACAAAGGTCATGTATTATTGCTCCCCATGGCTCATCAAGCACTCATTTCATGCTTCCTCATGACTCAGAAACTCGTTCCCACCTCATCCCCCCTGTCTATTCCCCTGGTGGTGGCCTTCCAAACGCTCATCCCCCGCTTCCTCACGACCAGAGTCGCCTCTACTCTCGCCGTGCCTCATCATGTTTTGACTCTCTATGTCATGTTGCACCCCCCTACCCACCCCTTTCATCCCTCCACATCGCCTTCCATTCCAAGCGCTCATCCCCCGCTTCCTCATGGCCAAAGTCGCTTCTTCTCTTGCCTATCCTTCTGTTCACCTTTCCCCTCTTCGCCTTTCCCCCCTTCACCTTTCCCCCCTTCACCTTTCCCCCCTTCCCCTTTCCCCCCTTCCCCTTTCCCCCCTTCCCCTTTCCCCCCTTCACCTTTCCCCCCTTCCCCTTTCCCCCCTTCACCTTTCCCCCCTTCACCTTTCCCCCCTTCCCATTTCCCCCCTTCACCTTTCCCCCCTTCCCATTTCCCCCCTTCGCCTTTCCCCCCTTCACCTTTCCCCCCTTCGCCTTTCCCCCCTTCGCCTTTCCCCCCTTCACCTTTCCCCAGGTGGCCTTCCAAGCGCTCATCCCGTGCTTCCTAATGACCAAAGTCGCCTCTACTCTCGCTGTGCAACCCCTCATCATCTCATACATGTCTTCACCCCCCTCAACCGCTCTCCACCCCTCCAGGTGGCCTTCCAAGCGCTCATCCCGTGCTTCCTCATGACCAAAGTCGCCTCTACTCTCGCTGAGCAACCACTCATCATCTCATACATGTCTTCACCCCCCTCAACCGCTCTCCACCCCTCCAGGTGGCCTTCCAAGCGCTCATCCCGTGCTTCCTCATGACCAAGGTCGCCTCTACTCTCGCCGTGCAGCCACTCACCTCGCTCGCTGCCCTGCCCTTCCTCGCTGTAATTCAGGTGTGCTGCACTGCACCCCTCTCCACTCCTCTTGACTCCACTCCTCTCCACTCCTCTTTACTCCACTCCTCTCCACTCCTCTTCACTCCACTCTTCTGTATTCCAACCCGCTTTACTCCTGTCCTATCCACTCCTCTTCTCTCCTCTGCTCTTCACCCCTCTCCACTCCACTCGTCTCCATTTCACTCCTCTCCACCCCACTCCACTCCACCTCTGTCTGCCCACCCTCCCTTCTTTCCAGGTCCTCTGTGGACTACCTCTAGGCAGGCTAGCCTGCCTACCACCGTCCCTCTTCCCCCTCTTCTCTCGCTTCTGTACTGCTTATGTTCTCCAGTTCGCCTTGTAAACTCCCTCCACCCCGCCCCACCCCACCCCACCCCATCCCATCCTACCCCACCCATCCTCTCCAGGTCCTCTGTGGGGCAGCTTTGGGCAAGCTAGCCTGCACCATCGCCTACCGCCGTCCCTTCTCCCTCACCTCGCTCACTTTCGCACTGCTTCTGTTCTCCAGTTCTCCTTGAAAACTCCTTCACCCACCCCACCCCACCCCACCTCACCTCACCCCATCCCCCCGTCTTCCCCAGATCCTCTGTGGAGCAGCGCTAGGCAAGCTAGCCTGCACCATCGCCTACCGCCGTCCCTCCTCGCTCTCCTCCCTCATCTCTGCCGTGCCTTTTAACTCCACCTTTTCTCCAAAACTCACACCCCCTCCTCCCTGCCTCCTTTTCACCTACCCCTTCCACACTGCTCAAATCAGATCCTCTGTGGAGCAGCGCTAGGCAAGCTAGCCTGCACAATCACCTACCGCCGTCCCTCCTCACTCTCCTCACTCCCCTCCCCTCCTGCCGCCCGCCACATCGCCTTCTCCGTCGCTCAGAGCCTCGGCCTCTCCCCCTTTGCTGCCGCCCTCCTCTCTGGCCTCCCCCCTCCGAAGCGGGAGGGGGCGGTGGAGGGGAAGGTGGGCGGTGGGAAGGCGGCGCCTGGGCGGGGAGTTTTGTCTGCACCTGGGATGGTTGGGGCGGCGGAGCGGGCGGCGGGGAGGAAGGAGGCAGTGGTGATGTCAGCATGTGCGTTTGGAAACTCGCTCACCCTGCCTCTGGTGTTTCTGGCAACGCTGCTGACTCGCGCTGATGCTGACAGGGCTGCTGGGTACCTCGCACTCTTCATGGTTGGGTGAGTACACCTTTACACCTTGCTGTGTTGGGTACCTTAGCAGTCTACCCATGCTGACAGAGCGCCTGGGTACCTTGTGCTCTTCATGGTTGGGTGAGCACACTGTTTTTGGTTGGGCCTTAGGGGAGGAAGGAAGGATTTTACTTTTGAGAATTCTCAAAAGTAAAATTCACATGCCTGAGAGGAGGAAGGAGGGTGTTTGAAGTCAGCATGTGCTCGCTCACTCTGCCTCTCGTGTTTCTGGCGATGCTGCCGACTCGCGCTGATGCTGACAGGGCTGCTGGGTACGTCGCACTCTTCATGGTCGGGCGAGTACACTCTATAAAGCTGTGCATCACTACATTGTACCCACACATGCTGACAGGGCTGTTGGGTGCTTGATGCTGTTCATGCTGGGGTGAGTATCTGTGCTGGGCATGTTAGAACCCTTCCAGTTGGTCACCCACCTTCTGGACCCTGGGTTACAGCATGTTCACCACAGTTAACCGCTCCGAACCCCTGTGTTCACCGTATACCCCTCACTCTTCCCTCCCTCTTCCAGCTGGTCCCCCACCTTCTGGAATCCGGGCTACAGCATGCTCACACGACATCGCCTTTGCTTCCCACCGACCCACTCACAGGGGGCGGTGCTGCTGCCACTCCTTGTCCCACCCCCCTCCCTCCCCATTCTAGCTGGTCACCCACCTTCTGGGTTTTGAGAATTCTCAGAAACCAGCTTGCCGTTGCCGTTGCCGTTGCCATTGCCATTCTGGTCTGGACCCTGGGCTACAACATGTTCACAGGGGGGGATAACAAGCAGGTAGAGGGCGAGAGGATGGGGGGGATAGCAAGCAGGTAGAGGGCGAGAGGATGGGGGGGATAACAAGCAGGTAGAGGGCGAGAGGATGGGGGGGAAATGATGGCACACCATCTATTCTCCTCTTCCCACTCCCCTCCCCCACCCTTCCAGCTGGTCCCCCACGTTCTGGACTCTGGGCTACAACATGTTAACATGCCTTTGCCCCCTCTCTGTCTTCCCCCTTTTCGGTCTTACCCCCTCTCCGTCTTCCCCCCTCTCCGTCTTCCCCCCTCTCCGTCTTACCCCCTCTCCGTCTTCCCCCCTCTCCGTCTTCCCCCCTCTCCGACTTACTCCCTCTCCGTCTTACCCCCTCTCCGTCTTCCCCCCTCCCCGTCTTCCCCCCTCTCCGTCTTCCCCCATCTCCGTCTTCCCCCCTCTCCGTCTTCCCCCCTCTCCGTCTTCCCCCCTCTCCGTCTCCCCTCCATTTTCCCATTGCTTGCATCTTTCCACAGCTGGTCCCCCACCTTCTGGACTCTGGGCTACAGCATGTTCACAGGGGGGGATAACAAGCAGGAGGAGGGTGAGCGGGCGGGGGGAGAGTGATGGCACACCATATATTCCCCTCTTCCCACTCGCTTCCCTCCCTCCCTTTCCAGCTGGTCCCCCACCTTCTGGACTCTGGGTTACAGCATGTTCACACACCACCGCTGTTTCTCCCCCTCCTTCCCCTCTTTCTCCCCCTCCTTCCCCTCTTTCTCCCCCTCCTTCCCCTCTTTCTCCCCTCCTCCCTCTTCCAGCTGGTCACCCACCTTCTGGACCCTGGGCTACGGCATGTTCACAGGCGGGGATAACAAGCAGGAAGAGGGTGAGCGGGCGGGTGAAGAGGCGAGTGCAGCAGCAGCAGCAGCAGCAGAAGCAGCAGTGATGGGAGTGACAGGGTTTGAGCGTGCTGTCAGCCGTGTGATGGCGGTGGTTCAGAAAGTGCTCAATCCACCTATTTATGGGGTGAGTTTCTAAAAATGGAAGGGATGGGAGTGACAAGGTTTGAACGTGCTGTCAGCCGTGTGATGGCGGTGGTTCAGAAAGTGCTCAATCCACCTATTTATGGGGTGAGTTTCTAAAAATGGAAGCGATGGGAGTGACAAGGTTTGAGCGTGCTGTCAGCCGTGTGATGGCGGTGGTTCAGAAAGTGCTCAATCCACCTATTTATGGGGTGAGTTTCTAAAAATGGAAGCGATGGGAGTGACAAGGTTTGAGCGTGCTGTCAGCCGTGTGATGGCGGTGGTTCAGAAAGTGCTCAACCCGCCTATTTATGGGGTGCGTTTCTATTTATGGGGTGGCTTCCTATTTATGGGATGAGTTCCTATTCGTGATGTGGGTTCTTAGTTATGGAGTGGACTCTGTGTTGATCCTCCCAAGGGTCTTTCGGACCAAGTGCCCACGTGTCTGTCTAATCGGACCAATCATCCCTCATTCCCTTATGTGTATCTGCCCTCGTTCCCAGGGCACGGCACACATATCTGCTTCAATAGGAGCTGACTTTCGAGTCGACTCAAAAGTGGGCTGTCTTTTGAGTCGACTCAAAAGTTCCCAGGGCACACATATCTGCTTCAATAGGAGCTAGTGAAACCAATTAGGCTCTCTCCTCCCACTCCCCCCTCTCCTCCCATCCCCCCATCAGGTGCTAGCAGGTCTGCTAATAGGAGCCACCCCACTCGCCCACTTCTTCCTCCCTGCCTCCTCCTCCTCTGCTGCTGCTGCCGCTGCTGCCTCCTCCCTCCCAGCCTCCGCCTCAGCATGGCTCTTCAGCCCTGCCACTGCCGGCATCCTGCACGGCGTCATGGAGGTGAGCGTTGAGGTGGGTGGGGTAGGCGGCGAGGAATGCGTCCTCCCCCACTAAGGCATGTAAGGGCGAGGCATGAGTCATGCAGGTGAACGGACGCCATTACAAGGTGAGGGGTGAGGGGTGAGGTGAGTGGGGTAGGCGAGGCATGAGTCATGGAGGTGAACGGACGCCTTTACAAGGTGAGGGGTGAGGGGTGAGGTGAGTGGGGTAGGCGAGGCATGAGTCATGGAGGTGAACGGACGCCTTTACAAGGTGAGGGGTGAGGGGTGAGGTGAGTGGGGTAGGCGAGGCATGAGTCATGGAGGTGAACGGACGCCTTTACAAGGTGAGGGGTGAGGGGTGAGGTGAGTGGGGTAGGCGAGGCATGAGTCATGGAGGTGAACGGACGCCTTTACAAGGTGAGGGGTGAGGGGTGAGGTGAGTGGGGTAGGCGAGGCATGAGTCATGGAGGTGAACGGACGCCTTTACAAGGTGAGGGGTGAGGGGTGAGGTGAGTGGGGTAGGCGAGGCATGAGTCATGGAGGTGAACGGACGCCTTTACAAGGTGAGGGGTGAGGGGTGAGGTGAGTGGGGTAGGCGAGGCATGAGTCATGGAGGTGAACGGACGCCTTTACAAGGTGAGGGGTGAGGGGTGAGGTGAGTGGGGTAGGCGAGGCATGAGTCATGGAGGTGAACAAACGCCTTTACAAGGCTCCCTCCCCCAGGCTCCGCCTCAGCGTGGCTCTTCAGCCCTGCCACTGCTGGCATTCTGCATGGTGTCATGGAGTCGAGAGTGATGGACTGGGCACGGCAAATCATGCAGCATGAAGGTGAGGGTACGCCCTTGCTCATTATGGGGTGGGCAAGCCATGCCTCGTGTACGTACGCAAGAAAGAGGCTGGTGCGTGCATGGTATGGCATGTCACAAAAGCCTACTGCTGGCTTTCTGCACGGCTTCATGGAGGTGAGCAGATTCTAGGGCACGCAGTGAGCAGTAGGCACAGAGCTGCAGTGAGCACTGAGGTCCGGTGCACACAGTGGCATGCCCTGTGGCTCTTGAGGCGCCTAAAAAACTCTAGGGCATAGTACCAGTGAGCTGCGGTGCCCGCAGTGGCAGGCAGGCCCTGTGGCTCTTTAGCCCTGCCACTGCTGGCAATCTGCACGGCGTCATGGAGGTGAGCTGGGAAACGTCTAAAAAGGCTTCATTTAGGTGAGCGCATATCATCGTGCAAGCAAGGCACGGCAAGTGGAGATGAGTAGCCATTCTCAAGTCAGCCTGTGTAGCAGTGCAAGCACTGGTGCAGTGCAAGCACTGGAGCTCGCCTCCTCTCCCACCTCATCTCTCAACATCATTCCACCCGTTTGTTGCCTTTCCCTCCTCCCTCCCTTCCACCACCACCCAGGCAGCAGCCATTCTCGGGTCAGCCTGTGTGGCTGAGCAGACAAGAGTGCTTTCCTCCTCTCTTGCCTCCTCCCTCACCCTCACCTACTCGTTCACCATCCCTCCACCCTTTTTTGTCTATCTCTTCCTCCCCCTCACCACCACCCAGGCAGCAGCCATTCTCGGGTCAGCCTGTGTGGCAGTGCAAGCAGTGGTGCTGGCCTCCTCTCTCGCCTCCTCCATCCCCTCCCGCATCTCCTTCTCCTGGCCCAAACCCTCCTCCTCCCCTTCCTCCTCTCCCTCCTCCTTCCCTTCCTCGTCTCCTCCCTCCTCACCATCTCCCACCTCTGCGGCTGCTGCAGCAGCATCTGTGTCAGCAGCAATCGAACAGCTGCTACCACCAGCAGCCAACACCCAAGTCACGGCGCTAGCGAGAATCCCAACACCAGGTGTGCTATGTGCTTCCCCTTCCTCCTCTCCTTCCTCTTCCTCACCCCACCTCTGCTACAGCAGCGGCCGTCTCAGCAACAATTGAACAGATGCTACCACCAGCAGCCATCGCCCAAGTCACCACTCTTATGCCCATGCCTGTGCAAGGTGTGTTAAGGTGTGCGTGCCTGCTGTAGCGTCTACTGCACCAGCAGCAAACATATGTATATAGATTACATTCTATGATTATCTCTGTATGTATGCAATCTATACACTCCCGCCCCTCCGCCCCACCGTTTTCCCCCAGGCAGCACCCCCTCATCTCTCGTGCTGTTCAATCCGAACCAACTCCCGGCCCTCTCAGGCCTGGGCATGAGAGAAATAAGGGTGGAATCTCGCTCCTCCGTCTGGTTTTTGAGAATTCTCAAACTCCCGGCCCTTTCAGGCCTGGGCATGAGAGAAATAAGGGTGGAGCCTCGCCCCTCTGCTGCTTTGGATCCCCGTGACTCACACATGGGAGGAGAATACAGAGACAGAAATGATATATCGCCACGATAGGAGATGACAAGGAGATGAGAGCAGTACTAGGCGAGAAGGCGAAAGGGCGGGGAAGGAAGCGCTAAACTGACCATGAGGGTGATAGCAAAAGCCACGTGTAGATAGGAAAAGCCACGTTTCAAAAGGAAGGAAGCGCTACACTGACCATGAGGGTGATAGCAAAAACAGGGCTTTGTGGTGGTCGAGGGAAGGGAAAGAGGGGGGGGAAGCACTGACCATGAGGGTGAGAGCACAGATGGGGTCTTGGGGAATCAGCCTGGCTTTGTACAGCGCCTGAGAAGCAAAGGGGAGGGGGGAAAGGGGAGGGCGAGTAGGGGGTGACGATGTTTGAATCGACTCAAAAGGCACAGATGGGGTCTTGTGGAATCAGCCTGGCTTTGTACAGTGCCTGAGAAGCAAGGAGAGGGCGAAACGGGAGGGCGGAAAGGGGAGGTCGGAAAGGGTAGGGCGGAAAGGGGAGGGCGGACGAGGGAAGGCGAAAGCGGAGGGCGGAAGAGAGAGGGAGGAAGACGAGAGGACGGAAAGAGGGGAGGTGGAAGAGAGCGAGAGAGAGGAAGAGGCCAACGCCTCACCATGATTGTCACGGTGCCATGCCAAGCATGGGAACTATGGTGAGGCGTTGGCCTCTTCCTCTCCGTCTCTTTCCTTTGCCTGGGCATGAGAGAAATAAGGGTGGAGCCTCGCGCCAACGCCTCACCATGATTGCCACGGTGCCAAGCATGGGAAGCGAAGAAAAGAGATGGAGACGAGGAATGGGAGGGGAGACGAGGAATGGGAGGGGAGACGAGGAATGGGAGGGGAGACGAGGAATGGGAGGGGAGACGAGGAATGGGAGGGGAGACGAGGAATGGGAGGGGAGACGAGGAATGGGAGGGGAGACGAGGAATGGGAGGGGAGACGAGGAATGGGAGGGGAGACGAGGAATGGGAGGGGAGACGAGGAATGGGAGGGGAGACGAGGAATGGGAGGGGAGACGAGGAATGGGAGGGGAGACGAGGAATGGGAGGGGAGACGTCTCTCCTCCTTTCTCCTCTGCCCTCAGATCCAAACCGCCATGCCATCGGCACAGAATCTCGTGCTCATGTCGCAACTAAGCCCCGCCACCAAGCCTCTGGCGGGAATGCTGGCCTCGCTCATGCTGCGACAGGTGGGTGTGTGGGGTGTGTGTGTTTTGTGTGGACATTTCTTTGGCAAAAGATGTCTCTGTGGACATTTCTTTGGCAAAAGATGTCTCTGTGGACATTTCTTTGGAAAACGATGTCTCTGTGGACATGCCACAGCTCAACCCAATAGCAATACCCAAGCCTCCCCCTCTCTTGCATCTTTCCCTCCTTCCCCTGCAGTACGCCATATCCATGCTCCCCATCACAGTGTGAATCACAGTCTCCCTACAGCAACCCACAAGCCTTATTAACATACACCCCTCTCCCTCGCTTTCAACCCTCTCCCTCTCTTGCATCCCTCCCCTCCCCTCCGCCCCCTGCAGTACGCCATATCCATGCTCCCCAGCACGGTCTGGATCACCCTCTTTGAACAGCAGCCCGTATCCCTTCCAAACCTCCGTCTCTCCCCACCCCATCCCCTGCTGCCCTCCCCTGCCATTCTTCCCCCTGCAGTACGCCATATCCATGCTCCCCATCACGGTCTGGATCACAGTCTCCCTACTGCAACCCACAGGCTTTATTAGCATACACCCCTCTCCCTCACTTTCAACCCTCCCCCTCTCTTGCATCTCTCCCTTCCCCTGCCATTCATCCCCCTGCAGTACGCCATATCCATGCTCCCAATCACAGTGTGGATCACAGTCTTCCTCTCACGCCTCAACATGACCATATGAAAGCGGCAGCATAACAGCCTCAAGGCACGAGGGCAGGCACGAGCACTTCTCAGGTGTCTGCCTCCACACGTCTCTTCCTCTCACACCTGAACATCACTACTTTGAGACGTCTCAAGGTCACTATTGAGTCGACTCCGAAGTCACAAGCAGTTCTCAGGTGCCTCTGACGTGTCTTCCTCTCACACCTGAACATCAGTACCACCTTGAGACGTCTCAAGGTAGACGGGGCGACTCTCAAGCCATCTGGGTAGCACAAGAAGGTTCTTTCTTTCTCTGTTGCCTCGACATGACCAAACGAAGGAGTCAGCATACCCAACTGGGGACAAGAGAGCTCGAGCTTTCTTCGAGAGCTTCAAAATCAAAAGCCGCCTCCGCTCACGCTTCAACATGGCCATCTGGAGACGCGGCACGTCAACACTTGACGGAGGAGCGTTCTTTATGTGAGAGTGACACAACAGCATACACGCGTACATGATGCGCTTTCCATGCCTCAGCTTCGTTGTTCGAAGCATACTGGTTACGTGTAGCTTCAAATAAGATAGTTAGCTGTTCAGAGTGTAAAAATAAGCAGGAAATCTCATTACACTTCCATAGCTCCTCTAGTCGCACAACCTTAGCAGAGAACACACTACCAGACCAGACCACAATACCATGTTGCTCACTGCAGCAGCAGCGACCGGAGCAGAACTGGAAGCGGAAGCAGAACCTGAAATTCTGAAGGACACTCAATAGCAGCCATTCAGCAACGCCTCGTATGTTTAGTCAATAACAAATCCTTGGATGTCTCAACTTTACGACATATCCTCTTAACATCATTCACTCAGTATATTATGTATATTATAGACATACGCGAATAGGTATACACTAGCTTAGACATGGTTTCAACCTCGACTTTGCGGACTCGCACCCGCTGACTGCAGTTTCAACTGCAATCCTCATGTGTTTTCTGCTGTGCGCTGACCCAGCCAGACACAGCTCCAAACCAGTCGAAGAATTTCAACACCAGGCCCTTCCTCACCAGACCAGTCACAGTACCGAGCCGCTAAGCTCTCACCGCCAAGCCCCAAACCAGACAATACGAGCCAAACCAGACAAAGGGAACGCAACCATACCATACACCCTAATGCTCACTCAACCGCCCACTCTGAACACGCCCCCTGCCACTCCATACGCCCAGTGGTCGACATTCACAGCCAACGGCCCGCGCGTTACTAGCCCACGACAAAACTAAGATATTCTTGACCTCGAATAAGTTATTCGAGTTTCCCAGACAAGACACGCCAGGCTACCCAAATACAGTCCCATTCTCCCCATGGGGAGCGCGTGCTCGAGAGAGGAGCACAGGGAAAGATGGGGAAGGGGACTGAAATAGGCATCAGGTGTACCAGACCTCATGTATCTCACGATTCGCGACTGGCTCCACCAACTTGTTGACGAGTCTCCTCGCGTCTCGGGAACTATATTTCGTCAGTCAACGCCCGACTCGACTCGAGGATGGATTGTGAGAAAGCTGTTGCCTATAAATTGCTCCCTCAGTTCAACCTCTTGCCATCTCAAACTTTCTGCTCTGCTTTCTCCCATCCATCCAACGTCTATCGATCTCGCCTCAATACTTGAAGCCAATTCACTTCACGATTCCGAAAGCCATGGCAGCCAGGGGATATATTTTCGTTTGCATTGCGCTCCTCCTTGCGACTTCCGCGGCCGCGCAGCGTGGACCGCCTGGCGGAGGCCCTCCCGGAGGCCAGCAGTCCGGAGGGGCGCGCGGAGGACGTCTCAAAAAATCTGGGCCTCGGATGTTAGTTTGAGCTAACCCTAAAGTCGCCCCGAAGTAACCCACCTGTAGGTTAGCCCGAGGTGCTACTCGGGCTATGGTACAAAGTGAACACTTGCACCCGATGTGACCTACGAGTCACCTACAGATCGCCACCAGAGGTGAGCACGAACTGAACACAGTTCGCGCAAACCCGACTGGCGAGGGTCGTTTTGATTGGTCCAGAAAATGAATGTAACCGAGAAAGTAACCAAAGAACACTCGACTTGTTAAACCAATATGAATGCCCACTCGTTTATAATCACAAGTAGGAAATACTCATACTATAATCACATATTGTCACAATATTATTCGTACTACGGTAGCTAGAAGCGAGGACAAGTATAATGTTTCATAATTTATTTATAACGTCTGATGATTTTTTTACAAAACAGAAACATTTTCACAAACATTCCAGCATTCTCATAGCTAATTTTGATCCAGTATATGTGACATGCACTCATCTCTACGCAAGCAAACAAATCACCCTTACTGGTGGAAACGTTCTTCATAGACGTTAAAAACCATGTTACAAGCTGCAACTCTGCAAAAGGCACAACTGTTAGTTATGACGGCAGCATGAGTCAAAAGACTGAATATCCCACCTGCTGCTGCGTGAAGATGAAGTAAAAGTCTCTTAAAAGGTATTGATCTGCAAACAAATTCAACAACATCCCATAACACCAGCCATGGCTTTTATAGGATCACTGACAGACTTGTTAACATGATAACCCGAACACTGCTAGCACAAACAAATGAAACTGGCGGGAAGGCGATATCTAAACCGACTTACCGATTCACAATGTCGAGAATCGCGCGTTGAAGAGCTTCCTCACGCGCCTTATTGAGGGTTGAAGATAATCATGAAAAGTGACACAGTGGGAACAAGCACAAAACAAGAAACCCAGGAGAAAGTGTACGACATCATGACGATAGGAATAACCGACATACTCTTCCATGGCAGCGCCTACGGGTCGAAGTGCTGCCTGACGCGCCATGTTCGAGTTGTCAACATATTTACTGAAAGGCACAAGGAGAAACACGTAAAAAAACACGGAAAGATATATTGTAAAAAGCTGACGACGGGAAAGATGATAAGACTGCGACCATAGAGGCAGCAGGGAAAAATAAAACAGGAAGAGGCAGTCGCGCGACGCGGGCATTCGAGCTAAGAGAGTGAGGAGAAAAGTATGACAGAGGACTACGAATGAATCAAGAAATGAACAGCGAGACTCTTGAAGGAGCAGCTGGGGACGAACGCATGGTTGGAGCAGGTCAAGGATGGGGTGGGGGTAGCTAGAGGCAGGGTTGGTCAAGGATGCGACGTGTCTTGAACAGATTCGACCACAAGTTACGGTCAGCGACGTGGTCTCAAAAAATTGCACACTCACAAGTTCATTCGCTATCCTGTGTCAGCTGGCAGCCGAACCACGCATGCAATCTGCCCGAACCTGCCTGTGTGGGTACGGTATATGGACGGGAAGCGACGTTGGTTTCATTTTGATGACCAAGCAGTACAGCGAGGATGCAAAAAAATATCAGTCACGACTGTGCTGTGCTGGACAAGCTGCATTGGTGGTGTTGTTTGACTTCAGATATCGTAACATGTCTCCAATCCAATGCCAGTTACTGTTGGCGAATTGTCGCCACTACGCGAAATTGCTTCGCCAGTAGTCGGTTGGATCATTTGGGCCCTGTGCCTAGTCTGTGGTGAAATTCGTTACCTGGTTGTGACTCCGGGTTTTCTTTGGGATGAGTTTGCATGAAGTTGGTGTAGGTAGCCCCGAGGTGACCTGCCTTGGGGGTGAGTTGAGCCCATCGCAATTTTTGAGACGGACCTGGCGGACCCGGGTCTGGCGGGCCTGGCGGGCCTGGTGGGCCTGCTGGTCCGCGCGGTCCTCCGTTCAACTTGACGGTCGTCGGAAATCTGACGGCGGACGTCGGCGCGCGATTGGCCAATTGCTCCGCAGACGAAACCTTTCTCGACGGCCGCTTTCACCTCGCCATCTTCAAGTGAGCTTCGATGTTACCGTAACCCTAACTTTCGCGGGCCTCCTTTCGTCGGATTTTCTCGTTCATTTAGCTTCAGCGTCGCAAATTCTTCTCCTCTTGGTTGCAGATATTACAATTTCGATGCGCTTCGTGAAACTGATTCGTTCTTCTGTTCCCTTCCCCCTCCCCCAGGAACGCGAGCGGCAACTACAACCTGGCGGTCGACGCGCTGCTCGTGGGCGCCACGGGCGGGCCGCCCGACTCCCTCGCGATCGTGAAGGGCGCCGTCTGCGAATCTTCCGCCTCCGCCGCTGCGATCCTCGCGATTCCGCTGGCGGCGTCCGACTGGCAGCAGCGCGAGGGCTGGTGGCTGCTGCACGCGGAGGCGCGGCTCGACGCGTTCCTCGAGAACGCGGACGCCACCACCGTCGAAGCGCTCCTCGCGCTCCTCCCTAACGCGACGCTCCCGGCGGCGCGCGGCGGCGGCGGACGTGGAGGGAGCTCGGGCGGCACGCGGAGCGGGCAGGGCAGCAGGCGCATGGGGAGGGAGCTGCTGATGCGCGCAGCGGGGCGCGTCACCGGCGCCAGGCAGGGGGGGCAGCAGCAGGGGGCGCCACAGCAGCCGCCTGCAGGTGGTTCCTCAGGTGGATACCCAGGCGCTGGGGGCGCGGGAGGGATGATGGGGGGTGGCGGGGTGAACGCGACTGTGAGTGGGTATGCCGTGCTGGCCACTGCCACTGCGGGGGGTGTGGCGTGGGGCGGCCAGCTCATGGGCGTCAAACTGCCCTCCGCCGCTGCCTGATGTGATGGCGGTGCTGCTGGCGGCTTTGCGCTGCCACTCGGGGGGGGGGGGAGGGAGGGGGAGAGGGGGGGGAGGGGGGGGGGGAGGGGGGGGGGGTGGCGTGGGGCGGCCAGCTCACGGGCGTCAAACTGCCCTCCGCCGCTGCCTGATGTGATGGCGGTGCTGCTGGCGGCTTTGCGCTGCCACTCGGGGGGGGGGGAGGGGGGGGGGAGGGGGGGGGGTGTGGCGTGGGGCAGCCAGCTCATGGGCGTCAAACTGCCCTCCGCCGCTGCCTGATGCGCTGCTGCTGCCGTCGCTGCTGCTGCTGCCGTCGCTGCTGCTGCTGCCGTCGCTGCTGCTGCCGTGGCCGCTGCTGCTGCCGTCCCCGCCGCCGCTGCTGCCACGGCTGCTGATGGTGGCGGTGTTCCATTGTGGTTCCGTTCCTTGCTGGGGATGGAGTAGCAGATCCCAATTCAGGGTTCTTTTAGCTTGGAGTTTTGTTATGGGGTGTTTTTGTTAGGAATGAGCATCAGGGGCAGGAATGCTGGCAAGAAACCAGCCTAGATTTCACCAGCTGACTTGCCAGTCTTCCTGCCGTTGCCTTTGTTTACCGTATTATCTCTACGTAATGTAATATTGCTTCAAATATGTTCTTTCAGGAGTTACCGTATGGTGTGTTTGTATTAGGAGGAATGAGAATCAAGGGCAGGAATGCTGGCAAGGTGCTGGGTTTGTTTCCACCAGCTGACTTGCCAATCTTCCTGCCCTTGCCTATTTGTCTACATGATGTACCTTCTCTTTTTTGAAAGGCCTTAAGGCGATAAGATCATGTGTTCGGTAGGTTACACTGTTTAGCACTATACACATTCGCACAATGCTGAAACCTGTGAGCCTGGCCAATGCCGAAACCTGTGAGCCTGGCCAATGCCGAAACCTGTGAGCCTGGTCTTGGCCAATGCCGAAACCTGTGAGCCTGGTCTTGGCCAATGCCGAAACCTGTGAGCCTGGTCTTGGCCAATGCCGAAACCTGTGAGCCTGGTCTTGGCCAATGCCGAAACCTGCGAGCCTGGTCTTGGCCAATGCCGAAACCTGTGAGCCTGGTCTTGGCCAATGCCGAAACCTGTGAGCCTGGTCTTGGCCAATGCCGAAACCTGTGAGCCTGGTCTTGGCCAATGCCGAAACCTGTGAGCCTGGTCTTGGCCAATGCCGAAACCTGTGAGCCTGGTCTTGGCCAATGCCGAAATCTGTGAGCCTGGTTTTGGCCAATGCCGAAATCTGTGAGCCTGGTTTTTGCCAATGCTGATTAAGAATCTCGTCAATACCATACGCTTCACACACCAAGCGATGTGAAGGTAATGTGTAGCTATTTTATGACCAATGTTCCGTCTTGAAAATAATATAAATAAGAATAATGATTTCCCTCTTTTTCATCTTGTAAATTGTGTAAGAGGCCTCTTTTGTGATGCTTGCTCACAGGAGTGTACCCCGAGGCTGGATGTTTCGTGATTCTCCATCATGTGTGCACTTCTCGTGTCTTCATATGGCCATGTTGAGTCGCGAGAGGAAGACCGTGATCCACACTGTGATTGGGAGCATGGCAATGGCGTACTGCAGGGGGAAGGGTTGCAAGAGAGGGGGAGAGGGTGGGGAGGTGGGGGGTTTTGCAAGAGAGGGGGAGAGGTGGAAGTTAGGTGGAGGAGACTGTGATTCACACTGTGATAGGGAGCATGGCAATGGCATACTGCAGGGGAAGGAGGGGAGAGGTAGTGGGGGAGTAGAGATTTGGGAGGCTTGAGAGTTGCAGTAGGAAGACTGTGATCCACACTGTGATTACAGTGGCAATGGCAATGGCATATTGCAGGGGAAGGAGGGGAGGGATGCAAGAGAGGGGGAGAGGTGGAAGTTAGGTGGAGGAGACTGTGATCCACACTGTGATGGGGAGCATAGAAATGGCGTACTGCAGGGGACAGAGTGGTGGGTGGATGGGGAGGATAGAGAGAGGGGGAGGGGGAGGGATGGGGGTTTGAAAGGCATGTGGGTTGCTGTGGGAAGACTGTGATTCACACTGTGATTGGGAGCATGGATATCACATCCTGCTGGGGAAGGAGGGCGGGGGAGATGGGGAGGATAGTGGGGGGGAGGGAGAGTAGAGGTTTGGGAGGCATGAGAGATGCCGTAGGGAGACCGTGATCCACACTGTGATTGGGAGCATGGCAATGGCGTACTGCAGGGTACGGAGGGGAGGGTTGCAAGAGAGGGCAGGGGTGGAATGGAAGCTAATGAGGCATGTGGATTGCACGGGGAGACTGTGGATCCACACTGTGATTGGGAGCATGGCAATGGCTTTTGAGGCGCCTCAAAAGTCATGGCAATGGCGTACTGCAGGGGACGGAGGGGAGGGTTGCAAGAGAGCCCACCGTTCCACGTGAGTGAAGAAGTGTTCTGAGACGTCTCAAAACACTTCTTCACTCACAGGGTTGCAAGAGAGCCCACCGTTCCACCACCCACCTGTCGAAGCATCAGGGACGCCAGCATTCCTGCTAGAGGCTTGGTGGCTGGGCTGAGCTGCGCCATGAGCACCCATTCACACAAAGCCCACCATCCCATATCCCCCACCGCCATCCCCCCTCCTCTTTCCTCACACGCACACCCACCTGTCGTAGCATCAGGGACGCCAGCATTCCTGCTAGAGGCTTGGTGGCTGGGCTGAGCTGCGCCATGAGCACGAGATTCTGTGCCGACAGCATGGCGGTTTGGATCTGAGGGGAGAGGGGGGCCGTGAGGAGGAGATAGGAGAGAGGAGGGGAGATGATGAGAGAGGAGGAGAGATGAGGAGAGAGGAGGAGAAAGGAGGAGAGAGGAGGAGAAAGGAGGAGAGAGGAGGAGAAAGGAGGAGAGATGAGGAGCGAGGAGGAGAGATGAGGAGCGAGGAGGAGAAAGGAAGAGAGATGAGGAGCGAGGAGGACATGAGCATGAGATTCTGAGCTGATGGCATGGAGGTCTGCATCTGCGGGGAGAGGGCCGAGGAGAGTGGAGGCAGCAGTTTTTGGAGGAGAGAGGAGGGTGAGAGGTGAGTTTGTGAATAACATCCGGGTAGCCAGGCTGAGTTGCGCCAAGAGAATGAGATTCTGTGCCCATGGCATGGAGGTCTGGATCTGCGGGGAGAGGGGCGAGAGGAGGGTTCAGGTGTAGTGGAGAGATGAGGGTTCAAGGTTTCGGGCAGAGCTGCGCCATGAGCATGAGATTCTGAGCTGATGGCATGGCGGTTTGGATCTGCGGGGAGAGGGGTGAGAGGAGGAGACAGGAGAGAGGGGTGAGGGGAGAGGAAGAGAAATTCTGGAGATTTGAGGTGAGCATTCCAGAATGTGAGGGGAGATGAGGAAAGATGAGGAGAGATGAGGAGAGATGAGGAGAGATGAGGAGAGATGAGGAGAGATGAGGAAAGATGAGGAGAGATGAGGAGAGATGAGGAGAGATGAGGAGAGATGAAGACATGAGGAGAGATGAAGACATGAGGAGAGATGAAGACATGAGGAGAGATGAAGACATGAGGAGAGATGAAGACATGAGGAGAGAGGAAGACATGAGGAGAGATGAAGACATGAGGAGAGATGAAGACATGAGGAGAGATGAAGACATGAGGAGAGATGAAGACATGAGGAGAGATGAAGACATGAGGAGAGATGAAGACATGAGGATGAGATTCTACCGTGGTGGCATAAAGGAGTTGGCTTTTGAGGCGCCTCAAAAGTCGTCTCATGTCTCGCGGTTCGTTACACGTGAATCACACAAGGGAGCAGGTTGCACTGGAATCGATACAAGGCTAGTAGTAGAAGGTGAGGTGAATAGAAGAAGATGACAAAACGATGTGGGTGGGCAACACACGGAGAGAAGGGCGATGGGGTGTGGGATGGCGAGATGGTTTTTGAGAATTCTAGTTTTGAGGCGCCTCAAAACGGGGTGTGGGAGGGCTAGTTTTGAGGCGCCTCAAAACGGGGTGTGGGAGGGCGAGATGGTTTTTGAGAATTCTCAGAAGGGCGAAGGGGTGTGGGAGGGAGAGATACACTACACTGACCATGAGAGTCTGTTTTTTGAGAATTCTCAAAAAACGGGTGTGGGAGGGAGAGTCACACTGACCATGAGAGTGAGTGCACAGATGGGGTCTTGGGGAATCAACTTGGCGTTGTATAGCGCCTGAGATGCACGGGAGGGTGGAAAGGGGTGAGCGAGTAGGAGGTGCTGTTTGAATCGACTCAAAAATCACAGATGAGGTCTTGTGGGATCAATTTGGCATTGTATAGTGCCTGAGATGCAAGGGGAGGGCGGAAATTGGGAGGGCGGGAAGGGGAGGGCGGAAAGTGGGAGGGCGGGAAGGGGAGGGCAGAAAGTGGGAGGGCGGGAAGGGGAGGGAGGAAAGGGGAGCATGGAAAGTGGAGGGCGGAAAGGGGGGTGCAGAAAGAGGAGATTGTCAAGGGGAAGGGTGGAAGTGAGAGGGACGAGTAGAAGAGGGTGGAAGGGAGGGAGTGGGAGAAAAAGGGAGGGGGTTGAAGAGATAGGACAAGGAGAGGCCAAGGAGAGGGTTGAAAGGGACAAGGTGAAAGAGATAGGGAGGCAGAGGAGACGACGGAAAGAGAGAGGGAGGATGATGAGAGGATGGAAAGATAGGGAGCGGAAGAGAGAGGAAGGAGAAGGAGAGGGTGGAAAAGGAGGGAGTGGAAGAGAGAGAGAGGTCGAGAAGAGGACGGAAAAAGAGGGCTTGGAAGTGAGCGGGAGGAAGAGGAGAGGATGGAAAGCGAGGGAGGAGTGGAGAGGAGAGGACGGAAAGAGAGGGGTGGGAAAAGGAGAGGGAGGAAGAGGAGAGGGAGGAGGAGAGAGGGAGGAAGCATGGGCAGGGAAGGGACCTCCCCTCTCCTCTATTTCGAAAGCTAAGGACAACGTGCCTCACCGTGACTGCAACGGTGCCAAGCATGGGCAGCAGCAGCAGGCGCAGGCGCACAGAGCGGAGAGGAAGAAAGGGGAGAGGATGGAGGGTGAGAGGATGGAATGGGGGATGGAGGAAGGGGACAAAACTCACCGTGACTGCGACGGTCCCAAGCATGGGCAGCAGCAGCAGGCGCACAGCACACACCACCCAGAGCGCCCTATCATCTTGCAAGGATGGCATCGCAGCATCGGAGGAGGAGGGAGAAGAAGCAGAAGAAGCAGAAGAAGCAGAAGACAAAGCAGACGAAGAAAGTGTTGTGGCTGCTGCTTCACTCGCAATGCTGCCACCCCCACCTCCTCCTAACCCACCAGCACCACTCGTAACTCCTCCACTCTGACCACCCCCACCCCCACCACTTCCTCCTCCCCCTCCACTCCCACCAGCAGCAGCAGCAGCACTGGCACCAGGTGCAGCGACAGCAGCAGAGGGGAGTGGCTCCACTAGTGTTTCTCTCATGCCCGGGGTGGTAAGGGCTGGCAGAGGAAGGGTGGAGGAGGAGGAGGAGGGTTTGGGCCAGGAGAGGGAGATGCGGGAGGGGATGGAGGAGGCGAGAGAGGAGGCGAGCACGACTGTTTGCACTGCCACACAGGCTGACCCGAGAATGGCTGCTGCCTGGAAATGAGAGGAAGGGGGACAAGGGAAGGGAAGGGAAGGGAAGGGAAGGGAAGGGAAGGGAAGGGAAGGGAAGGGAAGGGAAGGGAAGGGAAGGGAAGGGAAGGGAAGGGAAGGGAAGGGAAGGGAAGGGAAGGGAAGGGAAGGGAAGGTTGGCACAGACGAGGAAAGACAGAGGAGGCACGGGAAGAGGAGGCGAGCAGTGCTACCTTCTTGCACGGCCACACAGGGTGATCCAAGAATGAGTCTTAAGGCCCACCTCCAAGCCGAATTTGATTCACCTCAAGCTCAACCTCACCTGTATCTCGCATGCCTTGCCTCACCTACCCCCCTCACCTCCATGACGCATGCCTTGGCTCACCTTCCTTTCACTGCCCCCCTCACCTCCATGAGGCCGTGCAGGATGCCGGCAGTGGCAGGGCTGAAGAGCCTCAGGGCCTGCCACTGCGGGCATCACAGCTCATTGGTACTATGCTTTGAGGATCTGCTCACCTTTGAGTCGACTCAAAAGTCACTTTGCCCGAGGATCTGCTCACCTTTGAGTCGACTCAAAAGTCACTTTGTCCGAGGATCTGCTCACCTTTGAGTCGACTCAAAAGTCACTTTGTCCGAGGATCTGCTCACCTTTGAGTCGACTCAAAAGTCACTTTGTCCGAGGATCTGCTCACCTTTGAGTCGACTCAAAAGTCACTTTGTCCGAGGATCTGCTCACCTTTGAGTCGACTCAAAAGTCACTTTGTCCGAGGATCTGCTCACCTTTGAGTCGACTCAAAAGTCACTTTGTCCGAGGATCTGCTCACCTTTGAGTCGACTCAAAAGTCACTTTGTCCGAGGATCTGCTCACCTTTGAGTCGACTCAACATTCACTTTGTCCGAGGATCTGCTCACCTTTGAGTCGACTCAAAAGTCACTTTGTCCGAGGATCTGCTCACCTTTGAGTCGACTCAAAAGTCACTTTGTCCGAGGATCTGCTCACCTTTGAGTCGACTCAGAAGTCACTTTGTCCGAGGATCTGCTCACCTCCATGCCGCAAGCCTCTCCTCCTCTCATCACTCACCTCCATGCCGCAAGCCTCTCCTCCTCTCATCACTCACCTCCATGTCGCAAGCCTCTCCTCCTCTCATCACTCACCTCCATGTCGCAAGCCTCTCCTCCTCTCATCACTCACCTCCATGCCGCAAGCCTATGATATCACAATCTTCGCAAACATCACGCCTTCCATCACTCACCTCCATGAGGCCGTGCAGGATGCCAGCAGTGGCAGGGCTGAAGAGCCACGAGGAGGCTGGGAGAGAGGAGGCAGCAGCAGCAGAGGAGGAGGCGGGGAGGAAGAAGTGGCCGAGTGGTGTGGCTCCTATTAGCAGGCCTGCTAGCACCTGATGGGGGGCCGAGGAGGATTGGGAATGGGGGGAGTCGGGGGGTGGGGGGACGAGGGGATGAGGCTGTAAGGAGATGGCGGGACTGAATGGGCGGGAGGGGTGGCTCCTATTTTTTTTATTAGACCTACTAGCGGCCGATGAGGGAATGAGGGGGATGGGGAGAGTGGGAGGCGAAATCAAGTGCATCAGATGAGCGCGCCTGATTGGAGCAATTGGATTATTGGACCGATAGGATTGGCATGCATTTGAACAAGATCCGTGGAATGTAAAAGGGAAACCACCCCAAGATTGGAACTTGCTTTACGAATCCACTCCATAAATGGGAATCTACCCCATAAATGGGAACCCAACTTGAAGGAACCCACCCCCACCCAATAGATGGGAAACCACCCCATAAAACGAAACTCACCCCACAAATAGGAACCTACCCCATATTTGGGAACCCATCTAACATATGGGAACCCCGTCCATCTGTCTGTTCTCAACAGTCCACATTCGCCTGACGCCCACAGATGGCAATGCTACAAAGAAAACCACCCCATAAATAGGTGAATCGGCCAGTACTGGGTTATAGGTTAAATAGTAAATCTGTCAACGACTTGGCCAAGGGGGTGTAGCTCACATGGTAGAGCGATCGCTTCGCATGCGATAGGTAAGAGGATCGATACCCCTCACCTCCACCATGATTGTTTATCGCGTTTTTACGATTTGAGATTGTGCCTTGCACGAAGTGACTATCAGCAACTCGATATTCCAACCAGAACCTACTTTACTGCAATAGTGCATGACACGGTGCTTCTATTGTCAGATTTATATGACATAGCTACTGTAGGCTATAGTGGGGTAGACCATATGGGGTACAGTTTTCTAGGGTTTGCTTTTGTACCCAACTTTCCCTTAGTCATTCCATTCCTCGTTTCTTCTCATGGTATCGAGCAGGTTCCCTAGTGGGAACGATTCCTAGGGCCCACCACCACAAATTTTTTTTTTCCTGCCCGGAGCGCGCTTCGCTCCGGCCCGAGTCGCGCCTGTGTGCTCTCCCTACCGTCGCGCCCTCGCTAGGCCCCTCACGGCCCCGTCGCGTCGCCCTTAGCGGCCCTCTCACGGCTCGTCGCGCCGCCCCTACGGCCCTTTGCGCCGCCCTTACGACCCTTCGTGCCGCCCTTACGGCCCGTCGCGCCCGTCGCGCCGCCCTTACGGCCCCTCGTGCCGCCCCTTACGGCCCCTCGCGCCGTCCCTTACGGCCCCTCGCGCCGTCCCTTACGGCCCCTCGCGCGGCCCCTTACGCCCCTTACGGCCCCTCCCGCGGCCCCTCACGGCCCCCTACGGCTCGTCGCCGCCCTCCGCGGCCCCGCCACCTACCTGTGCGGCCCCGCCACCTGCTTCCTGGCCCCGCCACCTACCTGCGGCCCCGCCACCTACCAGCGGCCCCGCCACCTACCTGCGGCCCCGCCACCTACTAGCGGCCCCGCCACCTACCTGCGGCCCCGCCACCTACCTTTGCGGCCCCGCCGCCTCCTCTCAGCGGCCCCGCCGCCTCCTCCCAGCGGCCCCGGACGCCGCTCTCTCAGCGGCCCCGCCGAGCCGCCCAGCAGCCGAGCCGCCCAGCAGCCGAGCCGCCCAGCCGCCGAGCCGCCCAGCAGCCGAGCCGCCCAGAAGCCGAGCCGCCGAGCCGCCCAGCAGCCGAGCCGCCGAGCCGCCCAGCAGCCGAGCCGCCGAGCCGCCCAGCAGCCGAGCCGCCGAGCCGCCCTGCAGCCGAACCACCTGAGCCGCCCTGTCCGGCAAGAGCAGCGCCTCTTTCACAGCACTGCCCTCACCCTACTGTTTGCGCTGCTAGTCTACTGCTGTCATGGCTACCCCTAGTGTCCTCGCTTTTGACGCTGAGGGTCGGGCCATTGACTTTGACGTCTGGATAGATGACCTGCAGCTTTTCTTACAGTGCGACAGAGCAGACGGCCTCTCCCTCTTTGACCTCACTTCTGGTGCCTCCCCTGCCCCCGCTGCTGATGCTGACGCCACTGTTCGCTCACAGTGGGCCACGCGGGATGCTGCTGCACGTCTTGCTGTGCGTCGCCACCTGCCTACCTCTGAGCGTGCGCACTTTAGCCAGTACAAGAGTGCTCACACCTTGTACGACGCTGTAGTTGCGCGCTACTCCTCCCCTGCCACTGCTGCACTGAGCCGCCTCATGCTACCGTACCTCTTCCCTGACCTTGCTGCCTTTCCCACAGTCGCTGACCTCATTACGCACCTCCGCACTAGTGACACTCGCTACCGCGCTGCGCTTCCTGCTGAGTTCTGCGCCAAGAACCCCCCCCCCATGTACATCACCCTCTACTACATAGTCACCCGGCTCCCTGACTCCCTTCGCGTAGTCAGGGACCACTTCCTCTCAGTTTGCCCCACCACTCTCACCGTTGACCTCCTCGAGAAGTCCCTCCTAGCAGCAGAGAAGAGCATAGTAGCTGTAGGAGCCTCTCGTGGTGACCCTCGCACCCCCATCTTTGAGGGGTGTTCCCCCTCCCCCCTTTTGCCCTCTGTTGCCTCTGCTGCTGCGGCCGACCTCGTTGGGCTTGAGTCGGTCGGTGCGGCGTCTACCCCTAGCGGGAGACGCCGCCCTGGAAAGGGCAAGGGGGGCAGGGGCACTGGAGGAGCTAGCGGGGGCGGTGGAGGCGGCGGTGGAGGCAGTGGAGGGGGTGGGGGTGGCGGTGGGGGTGGTGGTGGGGGTGGAGGTGTCGGTGGCGGCGGTGGAGGCGGAGGCGGCGGCGGCGGTGGCGGTGGGAGCGGAGGTGGCGGCGGTGAAGGAGGCGGCGGCGGAGGAGGTGGAGCTGGTCGGGGTGGCGCTGCGCAGAGGGTCGGCTCCGGTGGTGGTCAGCGCCAGCAGCAGCAGCAGCAGCGCACTCGTGACATCCCCCCCCCTCAGCAGCTCCGTGAGTGGTACGCTGCACGCCAGCGGGGTGGGGGTACTGGTCCGTGCACCTACGTCCTGCGCACCGGCGACCGCGCGGGTGAGCAGTGCGGGGGTGCGCACTCCACCCAGCGCTGCTTTGGCCGCCTGACGGACGCTTGGCGTCACCAGTTCCCTGAGGCCACTGAGATCCCCCGCTGGGGTGAGCTGTCTAGGGCGGGTGTAGCTGTCTTTGACCTTGACTTTGATGCTATTCTTGCTGCCATGTATACTGTGACTATTAGTGATGAGGGTGACTGTTACCGGTGTTTTCCGCCCGACCCGGGCATTGAGACTGCTGCTCTAGGTACTGGTGAGGCTGCTGCTCTAGGTGCTAGCGAGGCTGCTGCTCTAGGTGCGTCTGCTCCCTCAGGTGCTGGTGCGTCTGCTCTCTCAGGTTCTGCGTCGGCTTCGGCCTCCCACACCTTCACCCTTGACTCGGGGGCTTCTCGCTCCTTCTTTCGAGACCGCACCACACTCACGCCGCTTGGCCGGCCAGTTGCGGTCTCTCTGGCAGACCCCTCTGGGGGTCCTGTCCTTGCTCACTTCTCCACTGTCCTCCCGTGTCCAGCGGCCCCCTCTGGCACCCTATCTGGTCTTTACCTCCCCTCGTTCTCTACGAACTTGGTGAGTGGTGCTGACCTACAGGATGCGGGGGTTCACCAGTTCACTCCTGCGAGTCAGCGGGTGACCCACTGCACGGACGCTCGGACTGGCCGACACCTGGCCACGTTTACCCGTCGGCCGGGGTCGAGCCTGTACACCCTGACCACTGTGTCTCCTCCAGTCACTGCGTCTGGTCAGGTAGCTGCGTCGGGTCAGGTGTTTGCTGCAGCGTCCAGGTCTGGTCCTGAGTCTGCCCCCTGTTCGTGTCGCCTCCTGTCTCACGAGACTCTCCTCTGGCACCACCGCCTTGGTCACCCCTCCCTGCTTCGTCTCCGAGGCATGGCCTCCCGTGTCCTTGTCTCTGGTCTTCCCCGGTCCCTCCCTCCCCTTCCTCCGGGGCCTGGCCCTACCTGCGTCCCCTGTGTCGAGGGGCGGCAGCGGGCTGCCCCTCACTCCTCCCAGTTTCCTCCGACAGAGGCCCCGCTGCAGACGCTTCACATGGACGTGTGGGGCCCGGCCCGCGTCCGTGGACAGGGTCACGAGCGCTACTTCCTGCTGGTGGTTGACGACTACTCGCGTTACACCACAGTCTTCCCCTTGCGCAGCAAGGGTGATGTCACTGAGGTGTTGATCGACTTGATCCGCGCAGCTCGTCTCCAGCTCAGGCAGAGCTTCGGCTCGGACTTTCCTGTTCTGCGTTTGCACTCTGACAGAGGTGGAGAGTTCTCCTCTGGCCTTCTGCGAGCCTACTGTCGTGCACGAGGCATCCGCCAGACCTTCACGCTTCCGGACTCTCCACAGCAAAATGGGATTGCTGAGCGCCGCATTGGCATGGTCATGGACGTCGCCCGTACGTCCATGATGCATGCGGCTGCCCCCCATTTTCTGTGGCCGTTTGCGGTTCGGTACGCGGCGCATCAGATCAACCTTCACCCTAGGGTCTCCAGGCCGGAGACCTCCCCAGCTTTGCTGTGGACGGGGAAGGTTGGCGATGCGTCTGCGTTCCGTGTCTGGGGATCTCGGGCGTTTGTCCGCGACTTGTCTACGGACAAGCTGTCCCCTCGTGCTGCTCCTTGCGTCTTCCTTGGCTTCCCCCCTGACGCGCCAGGGTGGCAGTTCTACCACCCCACCTCTCGTCGTGTTCTGTCCTCCCAGGACGTCACGTTTGACGAGTCGGTCCCCTACTACCGCCTCTTCCCCTACCGCACTCCGTCCCTCCCACCGCCACCGCTCTTCCTTGTGCCAGGTCCCCCCCCGGTAGACCCCCTCCCCCCTCAGGGTCCTGCCCCTTCAGGTGTGTCCCAGGTAGACGCAGTCGAGCCTGTCGAGGTTACTGGTGACTCTGGTGCTGCTGAGGGTGCTGAGCCTGGGGGTGCTGACTCTGGGGGTGCTGAGCGTGTGGGTGCTACGCCTGGGGGTGCTGAGCCTGAGGGTGCTACTACTGGGGGTGCTGAGCCTGGGGGTGCTGAGCCTGGGGGTGCTACTACTGGGGGTGCTGAGCCTGGGGGTGCTGAGCCTGGGGGTGCTGAGCCTGGGGGTGCTACGCCTGGAGGTGCTGAGCCTGGGGGTGCGGAGCCTGAGGGAGCTGGGCCTGCTTGTGTGGCGTCTGGCGGTGCTGAGCCTGGAGGTTCTCCGGGTGCTTCGTCTCGGCGGGAGCCACTCTCTCCGCAGGAGCTGCGCGAGTGGTTTGCCCGGCGCTGGAGGCGTGCTGCTGGAGCTGGAGGTTCTTCGGCTACTGAGGGTGCTGGTGCCGCGGGTCCCGGAGGTGCTCGTACTGGGAGTACTGGAGCTGCTGGGCCTGCGGGTACGACTGGAGCTGGAGCTGCTGAGGGTGTTGACGCTGAGGCTACTGCTGTCGGTCCTGGAGGCGGTCCTGCTGGGGGTGCTACTGGTGCTGCTGGAGGTACTGGAGCTGGAGGTGCTGCTGGCGCTGGTGCTGCCGCTGGGGGTACTGGTGCTGTCCCTGCTGTGTCTGGAGTCGCCGCGCGGCCTAGGCCGTACTTCGTTCCGCTCCTTCAGCAGGTTCTTGGTCTCCCGCCTTCTACTGGTCCTCCTCCTCCCTTAGAGTGTCCACAGCCAGTTACAGTTACAGCCGGCCTCCCCACTGCCCGCTCCTTCTCCCTACACTGGTCCTACTGGAGGTCTTGCTGAGCGTCGTGAGCCTGCGTCTCGCCCTGCGTCGCCTGTCCGTGCTGCTCGCACTAGTGGTCGTGGTTCGCGTCCGCGTCCTCCTCCTGTCCCTGGCACGCACCGGATGTCTCTGCGTCCGTCCACTGCTCCTCTGCGTGCCCCTTTGCTTTCTCCTCCTGAGTCCTCTCTTCCTGCTCTTCCCGACCCGGAGTCGGACTCTCTTCGTGCTGCCAGTCCTACTGTCACGCGTCTCCTTGCTACTGTTGTCACTGACCCTTCCTTTGAGTCCACTGCTGCGTCTGCCCTAGTTACTGAGCTCGTCGACTTTGCTTCGCTGTCGTCTAGACTACGCTGCTAGTCTTGTTGCTGAGTCTGAGTCTGTCTGTCCTCCGTCCGTCGGGGGTGAGTGTGCCCTTGGCACGGACGTCCTTGAGGACAGGCAGGAGGAGTTCCAGTGTTTGGCTGCTGCTTCACCTCATCTCGTGTCCGTACTGCTTACCCCTGAGGGAGACCCGGATGCACTTGACATCCCGACTCCGCGCTCTTACGCGGAGGCGATAGAGGGTCCCTACTCCTCTCAGTGGCAGGCAGCTATGGACGCAGAGATGGCTTCCTGGAAGTCCACAGGCACCTACGTTGACGAGGTTCCCCCGCCTGGGGCGAACATCGTCAGTGGCATGTGGAATTTCAGGGTGAAGCGGCCGCCGGGTTCTCCGCCTGTCTTCAAGGCGCGTTACGTGGCTCGTGGCTTCAGTCAGCGGCAGGGAGTTGACTACTTTCAGACCTTCTCTCCCACCCCGAAGATGACCACTCTTCGGGTACTGCTGCACATAGCTGCTCACCGCGACTACGAGCTGCACTCTCTTGACTTCAGCACTGCTTTCTTGCAGGGCAGCCTGCACGAGGAGATCTGGTTGCGTCGCCCACCTGGCTTCACTGGGTCTTTTCCTCCTGGCACCCAGTGGAGCCTCCGGCGGCCAGTCTACGGTCTCCGCCAGGCACCGCGTGAGTGGCACGACACACTGAGGACTACACTTGCGGCTCTTGGGTTTGCTCCCTCTACTGCCGACCCGTCGCTGTTTCTGCGCACCGACACTTCTTTGCCGCCGTTCTACATCCTCGTGTACGTCGACGACTTGGTCTTTGCCACAGCTGACACTGCTGGACTCGCCCACGTGAAGTCCGAGCTGCAGAAGGGACACACGTGCACAGACCTGGGTGAACTGCGCAGCTACCTTGGCTTGCAGATCACCCGGGACAGAGCACGCCGCACCATTACCCTGACTCAGTCACACATGGTGCAGCAGGTCCTTCAGCGCTTCGGCTTCACGTACTCCTCGCCTCAGGCCACTCCTCTGCCTACTCGCCACTCGCTCTCAGCTCTGCCTTCGGATGAGTCTGTAGAGTCGAGTGGCCCGTACCCAGAGCTTGTTGGCTGCCTCATGTACCTGATGACCTGCACACGACCTGACCTTGCATACCCTCTTAGCATTCTCGCACGCTATGTTGCTCCTGGGAGACACAGACCGGAGCACATGGCTGCAGCGAAGAGGGTGTTGCGCTACTTGTGCAGTACGTCGGGCATGGGGCTTGTGCTTGGAGGGCAGAGTCCAGTGGTCCTCACTGGGCACGCAGACGCTTCTTGGGCTGACGACCAGGCTACGCAGCGGTCGTCACAGGGTTACACCTTCAGCCTTGGTTCCGGCTCTGTTTCGTGGCGGGCTACCCGCTCGTCTTCTGTTCTCGGCTCCAGTTGTGAGGCTGAGATCTACGCCGGGGCCATGGCTGCACAGGAGCTTCGCTGGCTCACCTACCTGCTGACTGACCTCGGAGAGCCGCCTCGTTCTCCTCCAGTGCTGTACGTAGACAACAAGGCCATGCTGGCCTTGTGTCGAGAGCAGAGACTGGAGCACAGAACGAAGCACATTGCTCTCCGCTACTTCCTTGCTCGTGAGCTACAGCAGCGTGGTCAGCTGCGACTTGCGTACGTGGCCTCTGAGGCCAACACTGCTGATATCTTCACCAAGGCACTTGCGCCTTGTGATCATCAGCGCTTCTGTACTCAGCTGGGTCTTGTGCCTACCTTGCCTCACTTGCTCACCCCTTGACCTTGTTTGTACTGTTGCATATATATATACACCTGCTCTTGCTTGTCTAGCCTTATATATATATGTAATCCTGCATGTGAACTGGCCTTGTGGCCTTGAACTTGTGCTCGGAATGTGTGGTGACTTTGTGATCCACCCTGAGCTTGCTTTGCTTTGCTTGACTGGTCTTGTGACCCCTTGTTCTCCCCCACTTTGCCTATGGGGGTGTGTCAGATTTATATGACATAGCTACTGTAGGCTATAGTGGGGTAGACCATATGGGGTACAGTTTTCTAGGGTTTGCTTTTGTACCCAACTTTCCCTTAGTCATTCCATTCCTCGTTTCTTCTCATCTATTGCCGGCTGCTCGACCTTTGAGACGTCTCAAAAGTCGCAGAGTGACTAGACGCACCTCGATATTCCAACCAGGGCCTACTCTACTCCCCTGGCGCGTGATACGGTGCTTCTATTGCTTTTGAGGCGCCTCAAAAGGGACGTGCTACGGTGCTTCTATTGCTTTTGAGGCGCCTCAAAAGGCGCGTGCTACGGTGCTTCTATTGCTTTTGAGGCGCCTCAAAAGGCGCGTGCTACGGTGCTTCTATTGCTTTTGAGGCGCCTCAAAAGGCGCGTGCTACGGTGCTTCTATTGCTTTTGAGGCGCCTCAAAAGGCGCGTGCTACGGTGCTTCTATTGCTTTTGAGGCGCCTCAAAAGGCGCGTGCTACGGTGCTTCTATTGCTTTTGAGGCGCCTCAAAAGGCGCGTGCTACGGTGCTTCTATTGCTTTTGAGGCGCCTCAAAAGGCGCGTGCTACGGTGCTTCTATTGCTTTTGAGGCGCCTCAAAAGGCGCGTGCTACGGTGCTTCTATTGCTTTTGAGGCGCCTCAAAAGGCGCGTGCTACGGTGCTTCTATTGCTTTTGAGGCGCCTCAAAAGGCGCGTGCTACGGTGCTTCTATTGCTTTTGAGGCGCCTCAAAAGGCGCGTGCTACGGTGCTTCTATTGCTTTTGAGGCGCCTCAAAAGGCGCGTGCTACGGTGCTTCTATTGCTTTTGAGGCGCCTCAAAAGGCGCGTGCTACGGTGCTTCTATTGCTTTTGAGGCGCCTCAAAAGGCGCGTGCTACGGTGCTTCTATTGCTTTTGAGGCGCCTCAAAAGGCGCGTGCTACGGTGCTTCTATTGCTTTTGAGGCGCCTCAAAAGGCGCGTGCTACGGTGCTTCTATTGCTTTTGAGGCGCCTCAAAAGGCGCGTGCTACGGTGCTTCTATTGCTTTTGAGGCGCCTCAAAAGGCGCGTGCTACGGTGCTTCTATTGCTTTTGAGGCGCCTCAAAAGGCGCGTGCTACGGTGCTTCTATTGCTTTTGAGGCGCCTCAAAAGGCGCGTGCTACGGTGCTTCTATTGCTTTTGAGGCGCCTCAAAAGGCGCGTGCTACGGTGCTTCTATTGCTTTTGAGGCGCCTCAAAAGGCGCGTGCTACGGTGCTTCTATTGCTTTTGAGGCGCCTCAAAAGGCGCGTGCTACGGTGCTTCTACTGCTTACTCGCTGCTCGGCCGTATGGCTCATCGCCACGTCTCTGTGTCTTGACCTACCGTCGCTGCCATTCATGTAGTAAGTCTTCTGAGACCCTGTCAATTGTGGAATGTGGCTCCTCTCCTGATCTGAAATGAGAGTGTTTTTGGGTTTTGCCACGTCTCAAAAACACTCTCATTTCACATGGCTATTCATGTGGTCGCCTTCTGCGATCCTGTCCATTCTGGGATGTGGCTGTGTCCTCCTCTTCTGGGTTGTCTTTTGAGTCGACTCAAAAGTCACCTTGTGTCCTCCTCTTCTGGGTTGTCTTTTGAGTCGACTCAAAAGTCACCTTGTGTCCTCCTCTTCTGGGTTGTCTTTTGAGTCGACTCAAAAGTCACCTTGTGTCCTCCTCTTCTGGGTTGTCTTTTGAGTCGACTCAAAAGTCACCTTGTGTCCTCCTCTTCTGGGTTGTCTTTTGAGTCGACTCAAAAGTCACCTTGTGTCCTCCTCTTCTGGGTTGTCTTTTGAGTCGACTCAAAATTAGAAACTCACCCCATAAATAGGCTGGTTGAGCACTTTCTTGGCCATCTCCATCACACGGCTTGCAGCACGTTCAAACCCCGTAAGTCCCACCAATTCCATTATTAGAAACCCACCCCATAAATAGAAGCTCACCCCATAAATATAATCTCACCCCATAAATAGGCGGGTTGAGCACTTTCTTTGCCATCTCCATCACACGGCTTGCAGCATGTTCAAACCCCGTCACTCCCATCGCTGCTGCAGCCGCTGCTGTTGCTTCCATCTTTGCTGCTGCACTCCCCTCTACCCCCTCCTCGCCACCCTCTTCCTGTGTATTACTCCCCCCTCTGAACATGCTGTAACCTAGGGTCCAGAAGGCAGTCGATCCGCTGCAAGGGGTTGAGGGGGGTAGGGAGTGGTATTTAAAGCAATGGGAAAGGAGGGAAGGAGGGGAAGCATTGGCGATGGCCTCTGAACATGCTGTATCCCAGGGTCCAGAAGGCAGTCGATCTGCTGGACGAGTGGACGGGGGGAAGGGTGGGGGAGAAAGAGGGGACACAAGGGAGGATGCGAAGGGGGGAGCATGTGCCTGTTACTCTTGAGAATTCTCAAAAGTAAAATTCCCTTTGAACATGCTGTAACCCAGAGTCCAGAAGGCCATCGTTCCGCCGGAAGAATGGTGGAGAAAGAGGAGGGGGGGAGAGAAAGAGGGGACACAAGGGAGGATGCAAAGGGGGCTGCATATCCCTGTTACCCTCCCCTTCTGAACATGCAGTAACCCAGGGTTCAGAAGGCAGTCTAAAAGCGCCAGGTACCCATCTATGGTAGAGTGCTATTGTACCCAACACAGCAAGGTGTAAAGGTATACTCACCCAACCATGACGAATGCAAGGTAACCAGCAGCCCTGTCAGCAAGGGTGGGTATAATGCAGTGTTACCCAACCATTAAAATTGTTCTCACCCAACCATGAAGAGTGCGAGGTACCCAGCAGCCCTGTCAGCATCAGCGCGAGTCAGCAGCGTTGCCAGAAACACAAGAGGCAGAGTGAGCGAGTTTCCAAACGCACATGCCGCCATCACCACCGACTCTTTCCTCCCCGCCGCCCGCTCTGCCGCCCCAACCATCCCAGGTGCAGACAAAACTCCCCGCCCAGGCACCACCTTCTCGCCGCCTGCCGCCCCCTCCTCTCCCCCGTTCCGTGTCGGAGGGGGGAGGCCTGAGAGGAGGGCGGCAGCAGAGGGGGAGAGGCCGAGGCTCTGGGCGACGGAGAAGGCGATGTGACGGGCGGAAGGAGGGGATGGGAGCGAGGAGAGCGAGGAGGGACGGCGGTAGGCGATTGTGCAGGCTAGCTTGCCTAACACAATACCACACAAGATCTGGGGAAGAAGGGGGAATGGGTGGTTGGGTGGAGGGGGTGGGGGATGGAATGAGCTTTCAAGGAGAAGAAAAGGAATGCAGAAGAGAGGGAGGAGAGGGAGATGGACGGTGGTAGGCGAGGGTACAAGCTAGCTTGCGAAGAGCTGGCGGTATGGGGGGAGGAATGGGGGGAGGAATGGGGGGAGGAATGGGGGGAGGAATGGGGGGAGGATTGTGGAGAGGGGGGTGGAGTGGTGGTAGGCGAGGGTGGAAGCTAGCTTGCCAAGTTGCTGCACAGAGGACCTAGGAAGAAAGAAGGAAACGAAAATTGGGAAGGAAGGGGGAAGGAGGGAGATGGACGGACATGCAAACGGAAGCCATACGGACAACCACGCAAAGCCATACCAAGCCATTTGGGCAGTCGCGCAAAGCCATACCACTCCATATGAAAAGGCATACCGAAAGTTATAAAATATTGCAGAAGTGCCGGAGGGGAGAGGGGAGGTACAGTGGTATGCGAAAGAGCAGGCTAGCTTGCCTAGAGCTGCTACTCTACTCCACAGAGGACCTGAGAGGGGGGAAGGGTGGAATGGGTTTACAAGCAGTGCAGAAGTGAGCGAGGTGGTGCGGTGGTATGCGAAAGAGAGCAGGCTAGCTTGCCTAGAGCTGCTACTCTTATCCACAGAGGACCTGAGAGGGGGGAAGGGTGGAATGGGTTTAAACGCAGGGTAGAAGTGAGCGGGGATGGATGGTGGTAGGCGAGAGAGAGCAGAATTTGTTTTTTGAGAATTCTCAAAGAACAGATGGTGGTAGGCGAGAGAGCAGGCTAGCTTGCCTAGAGCTGCTCCACAGAGGGCATGGGATGGAGCACAGGAAGGAGGGGTGGGAGGGATGAGAGAGGATGCATGGATGGGTGGGAATGGGGATGATGCTCTGGAGGTAGTACACACACCATACCCATCATACGCATCATACCCATCATACGCATCATACCCATCATACACATCATACGCATCATACGCATCATACCCATCATATCCATCTTACCCATCATTCACATCATACCCATCATACACATCATACCCATCATACACATCATACACATCATACCCATCATACCCATCATACCCATCATACCCATCATACCCATCATACCCATCATACACAGCATACCCATCATAAACATCATACACATCATACCCATCATACCCATCATACCCATCATACACATCATACCCATTATACCCATCATACACAACATACACATCATACACATCATACACATCATACCCATCATACCCATCATACCCATCATACACATCATACCCATCATACACATCATACCCATCATACCCATCATACACATCATACACATCATACACATCATACCCATCATACACATCATACCCATCATACACATCATACACAGCATACACATCATACACATCATACACATCATACCCATCATACCCATCATACCCATCATACCCATCATACCCATCATACCCATCATACACATCATACACATCATACACATCATACACATCATACACATCATACCCATCATACCCATCATACCCATCATACCCATCATACACATCATACCCATCATACACATCATACACATCATACCCATCATACACATCATACACATCATACACATCATACACATCATACCCATCATACCCATCATACCCAGGGTTGGTCCCCCCAACCACGGAATGGGATGAGGCGGGTGGACGGGGAAGGAGCTTGAGATTAGAGTAACGTGGAGTGGAGTGAGGTGGAGTGGGGCGGTGTGGGCTGGTCTGGGGTAGGAGCTTGAATCCGGGAGAATCAAAAGCGGAGTGGGGTGGAGTGGGATGCAGTGGGCTGGACTGGGGTAGGAGCTTGAGATGAGAGAAGCAAAAGTGTGAGTGGGATGGAGTGGGATGAGGTAAAATGGAGAGGATTGGAGTGGAGAGGAGAGGAGTGGAGAGGAGTGGAGAGGAGTGGGGAGGAGTGGGGAGGAGTGCAGCGCACCTGAAAGACCACGAGGAGAGGCAGGAAAGCGAGCGAGGAGAGAGGCTGCACGGAGAGAGTAGAGGCGACTTTGGTCATCATGAAACACGGGATGAGCGCTTGGAAGGCCACCTGGAGGGGTGGAGATCGGTTGAGGGGGGTGAAGACATGAGTGAGACGGCGAGGGGCTGCACGGAGAGAGTAGAGGCGACTTTGGTCATCATGAAACAGGGGATGAGAGCTTGGAAGGCCACCTGGAGGGGTGGAGATCGGTTGAGGGGGGTGAAGACATGAGTGAGACGGCGAGGGGCTGCACGGAGAGAGTAGAGGCGACTTTGGTCATCATGAAACAGGGGATGAGAGCTTGGAAGGCCACCTGGAGGGGTGGAGATCGGTTGAGGGGGGTGAAGAGGTGTTAAGGGGGTGAAGAGGAGTTGAGGGGGGTGAAGAGATGAGCAAGATGATGAGGGGCTGCACGGAGCGAGTAGAGGCGACCTTGGTGTTAAGGTGAGGAAGCAAGGGATGACTTTTGAGGCGCCTCAAAAGTCGACCTTGGTGGTGGGGACGCAAGGGATGAGCGCCTAGACGGCAGGCGGGCGGTGGCGTGAAATGGAAGGGCAGCAGAGCGAGAGGGGTGGAGGGGTGGCTGTGAGGAAAGGGTGAGATGAGCCGTGCACAAAAGGGTAGGCCGAGAGAGGTCAAGAGCTAAGTCCGTACAGCTCCAGAAAAAGCACCTGAAAATGCACCTGAGAAAGCGCCTGTAGGAGCACCTATTGGGACATCTACAGTGATGTCCCAGGACACACCATGCAGTTCACCTGAAAGCACCGAGCCAGACCAGCACTATATTCTACCTGCCTAGAAACCTGAGCCGCGCCTGACTATTAACCTGAACCACACCTTGATGGCACATTGAATACACTGAGCTCCACCTGGCAACACCTGAACCTCACGTGACGATACACCTGAACCATACCTGAAGATACACCTGAACCCCACATGACGATACACCTGAGCCGCACCTGACGATACACCTGAACCCCACCTGACTGAGAACCGAAGGCGTGGCTTCAGGAAGGACGTTGGCCTTCATTAGCCACACAATGAAGGCTGGGCGGAGGAGAATGGGAGGGGTGGGGGAAGGAGGGAGGGAGCATGGAGGTGGGGTGAGTGCGATCAGTAGTGGAAGGTGGTGGCTTTAGGAAGGACGTTGGCCACATGATGAAGGCTGTGGGGACGAACATGGAGAGAGGGAACAAGATCAGTATTGCGACCAGAATTGCGTCGAGAATTGCATCGAGAAGTGCGATGAGAATTGCAACCAAAATAGCGACCAGAATTGCCAAGTGAGGGATCAGCACGAGGCAACATTTGGCGGCGACTCACCGCACATGGCGAAGAGCTTGAACGAGGCTCCCAGGGATGCGCGCAGGACAGGCGTGTTCACGCCACACGCGGCAAGCAACGCTCCCACTGCTCCCATCGCTGACGATGATGTCGCTGCTGCTGCTCCTACCCCTGCCCCTGCCGTTCCTGCTGCTGGCGCAGCCGCAATCCCCCCCGCCACCACTGCAGCTGCTGCAGCCGCAATGACGTGGCTACGGGCGCTAACTGACGGACGGCTAATCCTGTCTGCTGAAGTGGCGCTGACTGACGGACGCCTGACGGACGGGCCATTGGCGGAGGTGTCTTTGCAACGAAGCGCTCCCGCGTTCCCGAGAAACGAACGTCGGAATCTGCTATCCTTGCCGGCAGATCGTTTTATTAGACGGCTGCTCCAGGGTGTGACGGCGAGACAACTCAGGCTGATTCTGATTGGTCGAGCGGAGACGGCGGAACAGGGAAGAATTCTCTTTGAGATTTCCTTTGGCGAGGCGTGAGTCACTGAACAGGGAGTAGATGTCCGAGTGCAGGTTCCCGGAAGCATCGGGAACATCGCGTAATGTAGCTCAATCAGCGTCGCTTCTCACCGAATCGAATCAAATCGAATAAATTTGTCAGATTCCGTTCTGTCGCTGCAAAGGGTAGCCTAAAGGGAAGTCGGATTGCAGGCCAGAAGTCGAAAGTCGCGAGAAGGACGCGAATTGCGCGCAGCAATTCCAAATGTTCGCGTGTCGCGAACTCCTTTCGCTAACAGTCGCCAATGAATTGCGAAAACAATGGTTGTGCAGCGTAGTCTGGCGAATGTATGCCTCGAATGTACGACTTGCGATTTGCAGCGAAGTTTGACGAATGTTTATTCCGTGTTAAAGAGTTTGGCGAATGCTCTTCTGCGGCCGCCGATCGATCGAGCCGTACTACGACTTGCGCGTGTCACCACTCGCTGAGTCGCGGCAACGGGATGCCCAACAGCTAAATACGACGACCGAACCGCGCAATAGAGCAATTATGACGAAGGTGTAACCTACGGCATTCCGCGAAGGGAAACTGGGAGGAAGTGCACTCAACTCGGCTCGATAAGGCGAGGAGAACGCGAGCAACGACAGGGTAGAAAGTAGTAAATCACGCCATGAAGCTTCAGGCTGAAGGGACCAGGGCCCGTCAGAAGCACACAGCCGTTGCTTCAGGAGTGGTCGCGACGCGACCAGGGCTTGCCAGATTTCGTCTGGTGAAACAACAAATTGTTGGAAGGAAACGGTGGTGGGGCGGTGGTATGCCCCCAACCCACCGAGGGCACTTCGGTGCCTTCGATCCCTTTGACTAGGGATCGGTGGGGTGGCACCGATTGACTTCGGGAGACTCACCCTTCGGTGCCACGTGGCGGCACCACATTCCAAACTTCAAGTGCAAGGCGAATTCGGTGTGTTCGGTGTGAAATTCGGTGGTCGAATTTCACCCCAACCGAAATGTTACACGCGGCGCATTCGCGACGCGAGTGTAGCGATGTGATGTTACATGTGCGGTTCGATGTAATGCATTTGCTATAAATCGACCTGCCTTGTATGCATGCTTTATACTGAAATCCTGAATCTTCTTGTACATGGTCCATTCGAACCAAAATTCCAGAGAGGTCTATCCTTGCTTCTAAGAGCACTAGCAATCACGTGAACGCCAATATCTCGGCGTATACTTGGGCGATTAACGTGTTTGATGGCTTGTTGGAAAGCCAAGACTGTGCTCTATCGTTTAGTGCAACTTAGAGTTCCTGCAAAGTAGAGGAGACGCCTCTACAACAGTGGTATCAGAGCTGGTCGGTAGAGTCTACGTGCGCGACTTGTAGCAAGCATGATGACGTCAAGCGAAACCTCCGGCACTTCCTTAGGTGGTGTCGTCTCGAATCCCGGCGAACCCTGGACAAACGCGACGGTGTTCGACACGTCGGCGGTTCCGATTTTCACGGGACAAAACTACTCCGCGTGGAAATTTAAGTTCCAAGTGCTCATGATGGAGCGGGGACTTTGGGGTCTCTTCGACGGAACGGAGAAAAAGCCGGTCAGCGAGGACGAGATCGCGGCATGGAAGAAGAAGGACCAAAAGGCGTTCGCAACGTTGATTTCGCGCATCGGCATCAACCTCGTGAGTTCGGTGCGCACGTGCATCAAGCTCGAAGCTTCGGCGCGTGAAGCATGGAAGCGGCTCGAGACGATGCACGTGAACAAGACTCTCCACGGCAAGATCCTAGCCCGAAATGCGTTCTACACGGTGAAGTTGCGCGCGGGCGAATCGATGCACGAGTATGCGACTCGTGTGGAGGAACTCGGGGAAACGTTCATGGACCTCGGTGGAACGGTCACGGAGGAGGATTGGATTCTCACCTTGCTTTGCGGCCTTCCGGAAGAGTGGTCGACGGTGATTACGACACTCGATAGCGTGCAAAACACTTGGACGAAGGAAATGGTGGTCGGTCGGCTTCTCCATGAAGAATCGCGACGCCGACAATTCGCTAACGAGAGCGTGGAGACCGCCATGTTCTCCGGAGGGAGCTCTGGAAAGAAGTCCAAGTGGAGCAACGGTGAGGCAAAGAAGTCGTCCGGTGGAAACGGTCGCGGCAAGGGCAACGCATCGAACGGTTCGAGCAAGTGTCATTATTGTCGCAAAGCGGGGCACTTTTGGCGTGAATGTCGGAAGCGGCCGAGCGATTGGATTCCATCGAAGGTGCGGAACCAAGAGGGCAACGCGCACACGGCATCCGGCGAGGCGGATGATTCAATGGAGTCGCTCGTTTTGTTGGCCGGTGACGGGATCAACACTTCAAACGACGCGTGGTTCCTCGACACCGGTGCAACACAACACATGACGCACTCGGCGTCGCTCCTCAACAACGTCGGTGCTCCGGGAGACGTCAAGCGCGTCGTCTTCGGGAACGATAAATCGCTACCGGTGGTTGGAGTTGGGAGTACGCGTCTCATCGTCGATGGCGGGCCGGTGGACATCACGAACGTGCTTCACGTCCCGGGATTGAAGGTGAATCTACTCTCCGTCACTCAACTCGCAAAGAAAGACGTGAAGGTCACCATCGATGGCGCGAAGATGAACCTCTTTTGGAAGGGGAAGCAATTCGCGCAAGGCGTTCTCAACGGACAACTCTACCAACTCAAGACGCATCCGACAACGGCCTCATCCAACGTGGCGCAAGGCTCCAAGGCGACTCTCAAAATGTGGCATAATCGGCTTGCGCACGCCAACTACAACTCGGTCAAAGAGTTGGCCAACAAAGGACTTGCGAAGGGATTTGACGTGATCGCCGGCAACGACGAGAAGGGCGTGTGCGCGGCGTGTGTCGAAGGAAAAATGGCTCGCAAGCCATTTGGTAGCCGTACCTCACCCCTCGCAAAGGACCCGCTTGCGCTTGTTCACATGGACGTGTGTGGACCGATGCGGCATGCATCAAAGGGAGGAGCGCGGTTCCTCTTAGTGATGCTCGACGACGCGACGCGGATGAGTTGGACCCGACTCTTGAAGGCTAAGGGAGATGCGGCCAAGGCGATTCAAGAGTGGGCGCTTGACGTTTGCGACGACGGCAAGAAGCGGATCAAGTGCATTCGCACCGACGGTGGCGGCGAATTCGTGAGCAACGAGCTTGAAAAATGGATGAAAAGCAAGGGCATTAAGCACGACGTCACGACACCCTACACACCCCAACAAAATGGAGCGGTAGAGCGGCTCAATCGCACATTGATGGAGGCCGTTCGTTCACTTCTTCAACACTCCAAGCTTGGGAACGAGTGGTGGGGAGAGGCGAGTGCGCTAGCGGCATGGATTCGTAATCGTGTGCCAACAAAGGTGCTACCGGGAACGACTCCGTTCGAAGCATGGACCGGAACGAAGCCGAACCTATACCGCCTACGCACCTTTGGGTGCCTTTGCTACTACAATGTACCGGATCCACTTCGCCACAAGTTGCAACCGAAAGCTCGTGCGGCGATCTACTTGGGGATTGCGGCGAACGAGCGTGCATGGCGAGTGTGGGATTTGGATGAAAAACGCGTCGTCACGTCTCGGGATGTGATCTTCGACGAAGACAAGTTCCCGACAAAGGAGAAACAAACGCCGCAACTCACCGTCGTCCTTCCCGCACGAGAGGAGGATGAAGCGGTGGAGGTTTCACCGCACGTGAAGAAGGGAGCCGAAAGTGGAGGGGGAGAGAACGAGGAGTGCGATGATGATGTCGAGGAGGTGCCACCAACCGAGGAGGCCACTTCCTCCGCACCTTCTTCCCTACCATTGGCGTTGACTCGCGGGCGTCGTACACCTCGCCCCAACACGAGGTTAACCGACTATGCTACGGTCGCCGTTGGGGAGTCGGATGAGGAGAGTGCGGCGATTTGCCTAGCGACCATCGGCGACGATAACCCACGCACTCACAAGGAGGCTTTGGCTTCCCCGGATGCACCGCTATGGAAGCAAGCGATGGAGAGGGAGTTAGCATCGATCAAGGAGAACGATGTTTTCGAGCTCGTCGACCCGCCGAAGGGTGCCTACTTGGTGGGATGCAAGTGGGTGCTTAGGAAGAAATTGGGAGCCGATGGAGGTGTCGAACGCTACAAGGCGCGGCTTGTGGCGCAAGGGTACACTCAACGGGAGGGGGAGCACTATAGTGAGACCTTCGCTCCCGTTTCGAAGGCCTCCACTCTTCGGGTGTTGCTCGCGCTAGCGGCATCTCTCAACCTCGAGGTGGAACAATTGGACGTTTGCACCGCCTTCCTCTACGGGCTTCTCATGGAAGAAGTCTACATGCGGCAACCCCCGGGGTACGATGACGGTAGCGGTCGGGTGTGGAAGCTCAAGCGTACCCTCTATGGCTTGAAGCAAAGCCCACGCGGATGGTACAAGCGCATCGACGACTTTCTTCTTCAACACGGCTTCGCGCGTAGCGTGTGTGATAGCGCTTTGTACGTCTTGAAGGAGGGGGAGAAGCAATTGGTGCTTTTGCTCTACGTCGATGACCTCCTTCTTTTCTCCGACTCCAAAGACCTCATTCGAGAGGTCAAGCAACGGCTAGGGGGGGAGTTTGCCATGAGGGACTTGGGACCGGTGACGTACTACCTCGGGATGCACGTCGACCGCGACCGCGCGAACGGGACCATTCACCTCCACCAAGAAAAATATGTGAAAGGGGTTGTGGAGCGCTTCGGCATGGGTAATAGCAACCCGGTGGGGACGCCACTAGACACGGGATTTTCTTGCCTCCCGGGAGAGGAAGAATCCGCCCCCGACGAAGCCGAAGGGAAGCGGTTTCATTCGCTAGTCGGCTCACTCATGTATGCCGCCGTTTCCACCCGTCCCGACCTCTCATACGCCGCCGGGGTACTTGGACGAGCCGTAAGCAACCCTCATACCGAGCATGTGCGTGCGGGAGGACGTGTTCTACGCTACCTCCAAGGCACACCCAACTTGGGAATCGTATATGAAGCCGGTCCAATCGTGCTTAAGGGCTACACCGACTCGGATTATGCCGGTGATCAAAGCAAGCGCAAGAGTACCGGCGGGTACGTCTTCACCTTGCTTGGGGGAGCCGTGAGTTGGCAAAGCAAGTTGCAACCAACCGTGGCTCTAAGCACAACGGAAGCGGAGTATATGGCACTCACTCAAGGAGCCATGGAGGCAATATGGCTACGGCGCCTTCTAGCGGAGCTTGGGCATCCTCAAGCCGACCCAACTCCTCTCTTTTGTGACAACCAAGCGGCCATAAACCTCACTCACAATGCCGTCCTTCACGGGCGTACCAAGCACATTGAGGTGAAGCATCACTTCGTTCGTGAGGTGGTCGAGAGAGGTGAGGTCAAGGTCACATACATAAGCACCAAGGCGCAACCCGCGGATTTCCTCACTAAACCACTCCCTAAGGATTCATTCCGTGCATGCCGTGAGCGTGTTGGTATGAACACCTAGTGGCTTGGGTGCAAGGGGGAGTGTTGGAAGGAAACGGTGGTGGGGCGGTGGTATGCCCCCAACCCACCGAGGGCACTTCGGTGCCTTCGATCCCTTTGACTAGGGATCGGTGGGGTGGCACCGATTGACTTCGGGAGACTCACCCTTCGGTGCCACGTGGCGGCACCACATTCCAACCTTCAAGTGCAAGGCGAATTCGGTGTGTTCGGTGTGAAATTCGGTGGTCGAATTTCACCCCAACCGAAATGTTACACGCGGCGCATTCGCGACGCGAGTGTAGCGATGTGATGTTACATGTGCGGTTCGATGTAATGCATTTGCTATAAATCGACCTGCCTTGTATGCATGCTTTATACTGAAATCCTGAATCTTCTTGTACATGGTCCATTCGAACCAAAATTCCAAAGAGGTCTATCCTTGCTTCTAAGAGCACTAGCAATCACGTGAACGCCAATATCTCGGCGTATACTTGGGCGATTAACGTGTTTGACGGCTTGTTGGAAAGCCAAGACTGTGCTCTATCGTTTAGTGCAACTTAGAGTTCCTGCAAAGTAGAGGAGACGCCTCTACAACACAAATTATGTTCTGTCAATAAATTGTGCTATGACTCGCAATCAAGGGCGCTGTTCTGCAGGCATGTGACCGAGGGGAGGCAAAAGATCTTGATGCACAATCGACCGCCCATTAGGCCCAGCTCAGCCAGAAGCAATTGATAAGAATCAGCGGTCCATTCCACGGTCACGGGCAACGGAACGGCCCACAATTCACGGGCCCACAACGAGCCACACATTCTCTTGACCGCGAGTACGTTACCCCAATTTTACCTCGCAAAACACGTATAGGCCCGATATTTTGGGACTGTGGTTCAGGTGGTAACCCTAAGTTCAGGTGGGAAAGAGGCATCGCGACAAGTCTGAAGCAAGGCAAATGTGCGGTGCGGGAACGATAAGCGAAAGAAGAACCGAAATTACCAAACCTCACAATCATTGGAAGAAAAACGATATGTGACGACGCAGGTAACCTAGCATTTCGCGTACAGTCGCCCCCATGAACCGAAGAGGAGGCGAAGGATTTCGTTTCGCAACTCCAGCCTCGTGTTTCCGTATCATAACACTGTCAAGAGTAGAATTGAAGTACACTTCAAAAACACATAGCTTCATACCCTATAACTCCTCAACATAAAAGACAAAGAACTACAAAATTACAAGCAAAGGGCAGGAAGATTGGCAAGTCTGCTCGTGAAGAGAAGCATGGTGATTTGCCAACATTCCTGCCCAGATGCTTACTCCAAACTAAGATACTCTAGAACTTCTACCTAAAAAATCCCCAAACACCAGAAGTTGCCAGCCAACAGAACTCTTCCCCAGCTACTCTGTACCAAGCAAGAATCAGAATAGCAGCGCAAAGCCGCCAGCAGCACCGCCATCACATCAGGCAGCGGCGGAGGGCAGTTTGACGCCCATGAGCTGGCCGCCCCACGCCACACCCCCCGCAGTGGCAGTGGCCAGCACGGCATACCCACTCACAGTAGCGTTCATCCCGCCACCCCCCATCATCCCCCCCGCACTCCCAGCGCCTGAGGGACTAGCTGCAGGCGGCTGCGGCGCCCCCTGCTTCGCACCAGTGACGCGGCCCGCTGCGCGCATCAGCAGCTCCCTCCCCATGCGCCTGCTGCCCTGTCCGCTGCGCGCTCCCCCCGCGCCGCTTCCGCCTCCGCTGCCTTTGCCGCGGCCGCCGCCTCGCGTCGCTGGCAGCGTCGCGTTGGGGAGGAGCGCGAGGAGCGCGTCGACGGTGGCGGCGTCCGCGTTCTCGAGGAACGCGTCGAGCCGCGCCTCCGCGTGCAGCAGCCACCAGCCGTCGCGTTGCTGCCAGTCGGACGCCGCCAGCGGAAGCGCGAGGATCGCGGCGGCGGAGGCGGAGGAGTCGCAGACGGCGCCCTTCACGATCGCAAGGGAGTCGGGCGGCCCGCCCGTGGCTCCCACCAGGAGCGCGTCTACCGCCAGGTTGTAATTGCCGCTCGCGTTCCTGGCGGAGGGGGAAGTGGGGAAGCGGGGGGGAAGCGTGGCGGAAGGGTGAAAAGTGGGGGGAGGGATGTGAGTGAAAGGAGGAACGATGGTAACGCGTCCCTGGCTGAAGTGAAAGAAATGAATGCGGCGCAACATCTGCGACGCCGAAGGTAAATTGACAGTGAGAACGCGCGGCGACAATTATAGCCCCACGAATATAAGGGTTTCGTTGGCAAAGCCCCGAAGCTCACTTGAAGATGGCGAGGTGAAAGCGGCCGTCGAGAAACGTTGGGTCCGCGGAGCAGTTAGCCAATCGCGCGTTAACGTCCGCCGTCAAATTTCCGACTACCGTCAGATTGAACGGAGGACCGTGCGGACCAGCCTGTCCGCCAGGCCCGCCAGGCCCGCTGGGCCCGCCAGACCCGCCAGGTCCTCCGCGCCCCCCCCCTGGCTGCTGGCCTCCGGGAGGGCCTCCGCCAGGCAGACCACGCTGCGCATCCACGGAGTTCGCAATGAGGAGCGCAATGCAGACGATAAAAAGACTCCTGACTGCCATGGTTTTCAGAATCGGGAAGTAATTTGGTTTCTGAAGAGACGAGAATGAACTAGGTTGGATGCAAGGGGGAAGGCAGAGGAAAGTTTGAGTTGGGAAGAGATTGAACATTGGGAGCAATTTATGTGCATCTCACATTCCTCGAGTCGGGGAGGGGGTTGACTGGCGAGAGAAAGATTCCCGAGACGCGAGGTGACTGGTCAACAAGGACTGCAAAGGGAAATGTTTTGAGGTTCGTGTCGTGATGACGTCTTTGCATTTTCGTGGTTTGGGGTGGCGTGTCTGGTTTGGTTTGGGCTTGGTAGTCAGAGCTTTGCCGCTCGGTTATGTGACGAACCGGATTTCTAGCTGGTTAGGTCTGGTATGGAAAGACATACCGACAAGGCGTTGAAATTCTGCGACGTTGCGATAAGGTGGGTCAACGAGAACCAGACCAACCAAGGTTTGTACTAGAACTGCAGTCAGCGGGTGTGCGTTGCGATAAGGCTGTACGATTATTCCTGATCCTGATTTTGTTGGTGGCACCGTAAGTAGTTGATATACAAAATCATATGGTTGTTATAAAACAGCATCAATTTCAGGGAGACTTGAAAAAATAAAGACAAAAGAAAGTATATTGCACAGGTACTGTAAGTGCCTCCCGTCAAGCACCACAAAGTGACGTAACTAATGATTGTAACGAGCACAGTGATCCAAGTGAGCAGCCAAGTTAGCAGCAGACGTGGCAAGATAACCATGACATACAGGACAATGCAAAGGAGCAACTCCAACCCCCCCACCACCACTCCCATCAAAACCTCCATCCTCCTCCCCAACACCATGCACATGCATACCATATCCACCCATCATCATCCCACCTGGCGCCATCCCAACAGTCACACCATGCACACCCGTTTCCCCCATACCTGCCCACACCCCTCCCGCTACCCCCGCTACAACTGCAGTACCACCTACCATACCATCACTCACACCGGACCACATACCTGAACCAGCATGCCCTCCCATACCTGCCCAAGGGGCTGCCGAACCTGCATACCCGTCCGGGGAACTCCAGCCAGCTGAAGCGGCAGCTTCCGGACCAAGCACGACAGCCCCGGGCCAGGCTTCCGGACCAGCCGAGCCTCCAGGATGGGAAGGAACACTGGACCACATCTCAGGCATGGCATGGGCTCCAAAAGTAGCCCCGGTGTAATGGACAGAAGCAGCTGCAGCAGCAGAGGGGGCAGGCGCAGCAGCAGCGGCAACAGAAGGAACAGCAGCGGCAGCTGTAGCAGTGACAGGTGTTACTCCCATCTGCCAAGGTGGAAGAGCAACTGACAGCCCTGACTGCACTGAGTGTGCTGAGTGTGGGGCAGGAGGGGACCCAACCATGCCATGCCATACAGCAGGAGGAGGAGAGGTCACCATGCCATGCCATGCGTCATGAGACCAAGCCATGCCACCTGCATGACCACCCATGCCTTGCATCCCGCTGCCACCTGCCATGGCTACTTCCGAGCCTGTTGTCCCGTTAGGCTCGTATGCTGCGATGCCAGCCACCATACCTGCTGCCGTACCTGCTGCCATGCCTGCTGCCGGGCCTGCCGCCGTACCTGCTGCCATGCCCGCTGGCATAATGTCCATTCCGCTTTCATACCCCCCACGTCCGTACCCACTGCTGCTGCTCATTCCTGCTCCTGCTGCCACACCTGATACTCTCAGCCCTGCACTCTGCTGCCCCACCCACTCCTCCATCCCACCAGAAACCTCTGCTGCTGCACTCTGTGGTCCCTGCCATTCCTCTGCCCCTGCTCTCAACGATGTGCCAGCTGGACTCGTCCCGTCCTGCTTGGAGATGGCGGAGACCATTGCTGCTCCTGCTGGTGCTGCAAGTGCCGGTGCGACTGCTGCTGTTGCCGCTGCTGCTGTTGCTGCAGCTGCTGGTGCTGGTGCTGCCGGTGCTCCTGCCTTTGCAGCAGGTGTGTTGGGAGCACTGCTTGAAGCAAACACTGCACGGTTTGCTGCGGGAGAAGCATTGGCAGCAGCAGCAGCAGCAGCAGCAGCAGCAGCAGCAGCAGCAGCAGCAGCAGCACTGGCAAAAGTGACAGCAGTAGCAGAAGGAGCAGCGGGGAACGGAGCAGATGAGCGTGTGTGGGGAGGCGGTGGAGAGATGAAGGCAGAGGAAGGAGTGAAAGGAGCGGAATGGAGAGAGAGCTTGGAGGGTGTAAATGCAGGGGAGGTGGAACGGAGAGGAGTGGATGGCACAGTGGTGTGTGAGGAGGAGAGAGTGGAGTGTGAGGAGAAGAGAGAGTAGTGGGAGGAATGGGACGAAGGAAGTGAGGGATGGTTGGAGGGCAGAGAGGAGGCAGAGGAAGGGACAAAGGTGGGAGCAGTAGGGGAGATGAAGCGAGGGGGTATGACAGCCTTGGGGCGAAACGGGACTGCTCCAGCTGCTTTGGCGAGTGAGCTCTTAGAGAGGATAAACGAGGCTGGGTTGCTGCCGCTACTGCTGCTGCTGCTGTTGCTAATGCTTCTGCTGCTGATGCTTCTGCTGCTAATGCTGGTGCTGATGCTACTGTTATGCCTTGCAATGATCACTCTGGCACTGCTGCTGCTGTTGCTGTTGCTGCTGATGTTGATGCTACTGTTAGTGAAATCCCTGCCGCTGCTGTAGCTATAGCTACCAGTGCTTCCCCGTGGGTCGTTTCTTGAAAAGGCTGTGCTGCTGTGTGTGCTGCTAAGATCAGAATTTTCACCTGCTCGCACCATCCCACCAGTTGGCTTTTGAAATGCCTCAGCATTAGCTGCTGCTGCAGCACCATAGACCACGTGAGACGTCAACCCCTCGTAATACACAGCCGGTTGCGTTTGCTCCGTTTGCTCCTCCCCCCCTTCCTCATCTCCTCCCTCCTCCCCTCCCCACTCGCTCCTATAGTACACCACACCATCGTTAGAACCAATCTCCATGCCATTTACCATTCTTGAGTCACCCACACCCCCTGCATCCCCTGCCATGCCCTCTCCATCCCCAAACAGCCCAACCATGCCCCCTGCTCCCACTCCTCCTGCTCCCATTCCTCCTGCTCCCATTCCTCCTGCTCCCACTCCTCCTGCTCCCATTCCCCCTATACCTCCCACGCCCCCTGCATCCCCTGCCGTGCTCTCACCACCCCCAAACAGCCGCCTTACAGGCCCCTGGCGGATGGCAATCGGTGGGGGGGAGTCGAGGGTCGATGGGAGAAACACACCTTCCCCCAAATCATCCCCCAAATCATGCCCTAAATCATCCCCCAACTCATGCCCCAACTCATGCCCCACGTCATGCCCTACGTCATGCCCCGAGGCTAGACCTTGCCCAGAGACAGATAAGGGAGCAAAGGCAGACGAACTGGTAGAAACAACAGAGATAGAGGAGGGGACGAAGGCAGAGGCAGTGGCAGCAGAGGTGGAGAGGGAGGAGGCAGGTGCAGCAGCAGGAGAAGCGGTGGGAGGGGCCTTGAAAGCTGTAGCCAGGGAGCCAGAACACATAGCAGCTGTAGCATGGGATTCAGCAACCCTGGCAGCTGTGGCAACCACAGGCAATGAGGAGGGGACGAAGGCAGAGGCAGTGGCAGCAGAGGAGGAGAGGGAGGCGGCAGGGGCAGCAGCAGGGGAAGCAGAAACTCCAGCAGATGTGGCAGGTGAATCGGAGATTGTAGGAGGTGTAGCAAGGGAATCGGAATTCTTAGCAGCTGTAGAAAGGAAAGAGGAAACCCTAGAGGCTGTAGCACGGGAAGCAGAAACCATTCTTGCTGTCGCACGGGAATTGGTATATATAGCAGCTGTAGCAGCAGTAGCAGCTGTAGCCGCTACAGCAGCACCAGCAGGCTTAAAGTCAGGAGCATTGAGCTTGGGTTTGAATTCCGGGGCTGATATTGCACTGGCTAGGGACGCCGAAGCAGCGAGGGAGGTTCGGAGAGAGTAGGTTGGAGATGGAGAGGTTCGAGATGGGGATGCGGCACGTTGAGGAAGCTTCCAGGAGGCTGCAGCAGTGAGAGAAGCAGCATCAGCAGGAGGAGCAGAGGGGGGAGGTGAGGTGAAGGAAGAAGCAGAGGCGGAGGGGGATTTGAAGAGAAAGGAGGGGGGAAGGGGAGAGGAAGAGCGAGCAGGAGAAGGGGAGGAGGAGCGGATTGGAATGCGGGGAGAAGGGGACAGCGATCGACGAATAGCGCCCGGGGTAGCATAAGAAGCTATAGCGGGCGTGACTGTAGAGAGGGATGCTGATGCTGGCGTGGCGGGCAGTGACGGGATGAACTCGCCAGCTGTCGCCGAGAGAGTGGTGGCACGAATCGCTGCAGATGTGGAGCTTGCTGACGTGGCAGACGGGCCTCCGGGAGGGAGTGAGGAGGATGAGAGGGAGGAGGTGATATGGTGGGATTTGGAGGAGGGGAGTGTGGCAATGGAGAGGGAGGAGGAGGAGGAGGAGGAGGAGGAGGAGGAGGAGGAGGAGGAGGAGGAGGAGGAGAAGGAGGAGGAGGAGGAGGAGGAGGAGGAGGAGGAGGAGGAGGAGGAGGAGGAGGAGGAGGAGGAGGAGGAGGAGTGGGAGGAGGGACGGCCAGGGAGCGAGATGGAAGTGGGAAGAGAAGGGCGAAGGGAATGGAAGGAAGGGAGAAAGGAGGGGGACTGAGACGATCGTGGAGGAGGGGAGTTGGGAAGGCTATGTGTCACCTTAGAAACATGACTCTCCCTGCCGCTGCCTAGACTGCTGCCGCTCGCACTGCTGTTGAAACTGTTGCTCTTAATGCCACTCCTGGTGTCACTGCTGCTGCTGCTGCTGCTGCTGTTGCTGTTGCTGTTGTTGGCAGTGCTGCTGATCGTGCTGGGTTTGCTATCAGCGTTATTCAAGGCAGCATTAGTCAGCTTATTCTCAGGCCCGTCAGGAGCACCGGGCTCTGTCACTGCTGCTGGTCATCATCATGTCAATCAAGGTTACAAAAAAGGGGGGGGGATGGAGAGACTTTTGAGTCGACTCAAAAAGGGGGGAGATGGAGAGAGAGAGAGAGAGAGTGGGGGACAGTGTGGGGAGGATGTGGGGAGAGAGACAAACAGACAGAGAAGAGAGCACATTCGGTGCAGCAGACTATGAGGAGCATTACAATGAGGATGCAATCCCCTTGTGAGTGCGTCTCAGGGAGTGGTAGGAGGGAGATGGAGAGAGGGGGAAGGAGAGAAGGAGAGGGAGATGATGGGAGGGGGGGACATACTGGGGGAAACTGCATTGGCAGCAAGCAACCATAACATAGACTCACCTGCTAGTGCCGCCGCCACAGGTGCTTCAGTGTTACCAGCAGAGCTAGCACTTGCTGCTGGTGGTTTCTCCTCTGAGACGCCTTAGAGAGACTGGGAAGGAGGGGCTTCACGAAGCAGCAACCATAGGATGGGACTCACCTGCTAGTGCCGCCGCCACAGGTGCTTCAGTGTTACCAGCAGAGCTAGCACTTGCTGCTGGATGCTCCTCTGCACTGCCTTCTCTAAATAACACCTCCCCTCCACCTTCCTCAGATAGCACCTCCCCTCCGCCTTTCTGAGATAGCAACTTCTCTCCACCTCTCCCAAACAACACCTCCCCTCCACCTTCCTTTAATAATACCTCCCCTCCACGTGCTACTGGACCCAGCCACAGCTTCTGAGATGCGGGTTCGATACTTGCTGCAGCAAATTGAGGAGGGGAGGTAAGAGGGCTCCAGATGGAAGGAGAGGAGGAGAGGAGCGGGAGAGCAGAGGCAGAGAAGGCATGGGCAACATGTGTGTGCTGATGCTGGTGGTGCCACTTAGTAAGATGGCTGCTCAGTCCAGAAGGAGGGGCAGAAGCAGAAGCAGCGACAGCAGCAGGGGCTGCAGCAGTTGTTGCAGCAGAGGCATTAGCAGTGGTGGCAGCAGCGGCAGCAGCTGTGGCAGCAGCAGTGGCAGCAGCAGTGGCAGAAGCGGGGGCAAAGGAGGGAGGCTGGGTGGAGAGCAGAGAGGAGAAGGAAGCAGCATGGGGCACTGGGGCATCTCCGGCTATCCATGCCCACACTGCCTCATGGTCATTCTCATGCGGTTCATATATACCACCCTCATTTCCAGCACTAGCAGCACCAGAACCACCACCACTAGCACCACCAGTATCACCACCACTAGCCCCAGAGGGTACAGAAGCAGCAACAGCAGCCGCAGCAGCAGGGTCACCCGAGCTACCACCACCACCGCCTTTGCTGGTACTGCTGCTCCCCTCACCAGCAGCAGCACTAGCACCACCACAATCACCACCACTACCAGCACCGCCTTTGCTGGTACTGCTGCACCCCTCACCAGCAGCAGCACTAGCACCACCACAATCACCACCAGCACCAGCACCAGCACCAGCATTCCTACAGACCTCAGAATCCCTGCAAACCCCAGCATTTCCACACGCCCCTGTATTTCCAGCAGCAGCACAGCCCGAGGCAGCAAAGAGGGAGGAGAATCTACTCTGAGTGCGCCTGGCAGCAGCCACAATCTCCCCCGCTCGCTTCATCTCATCTTCTGTCCACCCCACTCCCACGCCTGCCACCACCCCCGCCTCTGCCACCGCCGCTGCCGCTGCTGCTGCCGCTGCTTGCTGCTGCTGCAGCAGATGCAGTGAAGCCCCTGCGTTTTCCTGTGGTTGATCTAATGTGCCTGTCTGCTGCTGTGTGCCGGTCTGCAATTCCGGCTCTGCATCTGTGTGTGTCTCTGACTGTGCACGTGTGCTGCCCCCCGTTTGAAGCGTAGCACTCTCTTCACTACAGCCTTTGGTTCTGCTGCTGCTGCTGCTGCTGCAAGTATTAATGTCATTGGAAGCGGTGCTGCTGCTTGTAGCTGTGGTGGTGATGTTCGCAGTACTAGTAGCGTCTGAATGGTTCACAACACACATAGATGAAGGTGGGATGAAAGCTGGGGGACAGGTGGAGGTGGAGGAGGAGGAGGAGGAGGAGGAGGAGGAGGAGGAGGAGGAGGAGGAGGAGGAGGAGGAGGAGGAGGAGGAGGAGGAGGAGGAGGAGGAGGAGGAGGAGGAAGAGGAGGAAGAAGCAGTGTCATCAGCAGCCGCAGCATTTGCAGCAGTTCCAGCTGTCTCAGAAGCCCCAGCAGCAGCCACAACAGCACCAGTAGCTGCTGCAGGAGAGCCTGAACCAGGCACACGCATTGCAGCAGCCCCAACCGTCCCAGCAGTCCCAGCAGCAGCTGCAGCACTGGCAGCACTTGCAGCAGTCCCAGCAGCAGACACAACAGCTCCAGAAGCAGCTGCAGCAGTGCCTGAACCCGACAAGCTTGCCGTGGCAGCCCCAACCGTCCCAGCAGTCCCAGCAGTCCCAGCAGTCCCAGCAGCAGCCACAATAGCTCCCAGGCCTACCCCAACTATCTCTGCACCGGCAACCAGGGCATTACTGCTACCTGCCACGCTAACACCAGCAGCAGAACGCACCAAACCACCACCAACCACACCAGCAGCAGCAGCAGAACCCACCGAACCACCACCGGCCATACCAGCAGCAGAACTCATCAGCCCAGCAGCTCCCCTCCTTGCAGCAGACCCCATAAGAGGCGTCGCCCCTGGCCCTAACGCACCAACAGACCCTGCCAGTATCCCACCGTTGATACTCCCACCACTAACACCACTACCACCGCCAGCCCCACTCACAACCCCTCCGCGCCCTACCAGTCCCACTCCTCCCAGCCCCACTCCACCTCCCAGTACCACTCCGCTTCCCAGTCCCACTCCTCCCAACCCCACTCCACCTCCCAGCAGCGGCCAGGGAGCGGCCAGCACGCCATCTCCTGTCACTCTGATGCGGGCGGGCAGGGAGGCCACCAGAATCGCCCCTCGCAGCCCTGGCTGCAGCATCACAGGGCCCACCTGTGCGAAACTCGCCCCTCCCTGTGCGAAAATCGCCCCTCCCTGTGCGAAATTCGCCCCTCCCTGCGCGAAATTCACCCCTCCCTGCCCTTGCGCCTGCCCCTGTGCTCCCTGTCCCTGCCCGTGCCCTCCCTGCCCCTGCTCCTGCGTTTGTCCCTGCCCCTGTGCCAGCACCTGACCATGCACCTGACCGTTCACCTGACCTGGGCGCCTGGTTTGCCCCGCAGCTACAGATGCTAGAGCCCGCTCCACAGCAGCGGTTGTAGCGGCGGGGACTGTAGCAGTAAGCACTCCGGCTGGTGGTGGGGGAACGTGGTTACTGGCTGAGGGTGTGAGGGAATAGGTCGCGGAGGTAGTAGAGGAGGAGGAAGGAGAAGAGGAAGAGATAGAAGAGGCTGTAGCAGGAGACGAGGCTGCTGAATGGGCTGTAGCCGTACTCATTGAGGTTCCAGGATTGATTGGAATAGAAGAGGCTGATGCAGTTGAAGATGTTAGGGAAGAAATGGAGGAGGAGGAGGAGGAGGAGGAGGAGGAGGAGGAGGAGGAGGAGGAGGAGGAGGAGGAGGAGGAGGAGGAGGAGGAGGAGGAGGAGGAGGAGGAGGAGGAGGAGGACGACGACGACGACAACGACGACGAAGAGGAGGAAGAAGGAGGGAGCGGATGGTGCAGTGGGGAGTTGAGAGGTGCGTGAGGGCCCAACAGGGATAACGTGGATCCCAGCAGGGATGACGTGGATCCTAATAAGGATGACGTGGACACCCAGGAGAGGGGTGAGTGGTTGAGATACGATGGTCTTTCCCACACGGTCTTATGCGATGCTGCAGTGCACACGCACACAGAGAGAAGGGATGGGCGGGGGGGGATACATGGAGAGAGCGAGAGAGGGGGGAGGGAAAGGGGAAGGAGGAGAGGAAGGGTGGGTTGGACGGTATTTGCACAACAGCAAGTTGTATGATGTGATGTGAAACTTGACTCGAGTTAAACTGCAAGCTCAGAGAAAACAGCCACCGTAAAGACTGTAGGTGTTGAGACGCGTGGAAAAGCAGCTGAAGCGACTTCACAGGATGCCAGGATATGAACATCAGAAACGAACGCCGAGAAGGATGTGCAGAAGAAGGGGGGAGGGGATACTGTGGAGAGGGCGCAGAGGAGGGTTATGCGGAAAGAGAGAGAGCGGGTGGGATGCAGAGCGGTTGAGATGCATACCGGTGAGTGGAGTGGAGGGCGAGAGCTACATGAGAGGTGAACAGGAGTTAACTTTTGAGTCGACTCAAGTCAACGCGAGTGGGATGCATACATACCAGTGAGTGGAGAGGAGGGAGAGAGCTGCATGAGAGGCGAAGACGCCATGGCTGAAATTGGCGGGTTGAACCCCCTCATTCCTCCCATCATCCCACCAAAACCACTGCCAATACCAGCGAAACCAGCACCAGCAGCCCCAACAGCAACCCCTCCCCCAGTCCCCACCCCAGCACCACCAACAGCAGCAGCAGTAGCAATGCCGTTAGTAGAGCCAGCGAGGATATCAGCCCGGCCAGTCCCACCACTTCCGGTAAGCTTGCCGGGACCAACGGACGTTCGCACTACCACCACCCCTCCTCCTTCCCAGCTGCCTCCGCCCCCATACCCCACAACTACACTCCCCCCTCCTCCTCCTCCTCCTCCTCCTCCTCCTCCTCCTCCTCCTCCTCCTCCTCCTCCTCCTCCTCCTCCTCCTCCTCCTCCTCCTCCTCCTCCTCCTCCTCCTCCTCCTCGACCCCTCTCTCCCGCTTTCCCGCTGCTCTCCAGCCCGCCGCTGCCACCTGTCACTCGCCCATTGGCTGCACCCTTCACTTTCTTTCCAGTTGCGGCTCTGGCTGTTGCGGCTGGCTTATCAGCAGCGGACGGGGAGGGAGGTTGGGGGACGCCGTAGGGGGTGCGGCAGCTGGGGCAGAGGCTGTTGAGTTCGAGCTTGATACGCTCGTAGCAGAAGAGACACACGCGGTACCTGACGGCCAGGAGAAGAGGGTGAGGCAGTGGGGAAGAGAAACGGGAGCATGGGAAGTTAGAGTTAGCGAGGATGTTTTTTTGCCCGTAGAACAAGAAAAATGATGGAAGAAAGTGAAGGAATGGACTTTTGATAAATGAAAGAAAGGGAAACAAGGCAACTACTGCGACTGTGAAATGCCCCAGAGTTGACCAGACGAGGGGTGTACCTATCATCAGTCTTCGGTTCACCCCATAGACTCGCAACGAAGAAGAAGAAATATAAGCAGGTTTGGATTGTGATGTGACCTAACCCGCACTTACCAGTGAAGCCGGAGTGTAACCGTGTGAGTCATTGAGACAAAGACACGGTTGCACGGGCCAGAAGGCTCTGTGGCCGTGCAATGTCAGCAGCCAGACTCAAAATCCCCGCCAAGAACTGCCTCACGCAGCTCACTTCGCGCTCCTCATTCGCTCTGTAATACATATAAAAATCTTTGCAATGAAAGCGAAAGCGCTGACGGGGATTTACCCGCAAGGGCAGGGTCGAAATCGGACTTCGGTTTCGTCGAGATGCTCGATGCAGAGCGGACAAACGGGATCCTCCTCCTCCTCTTCCGCCTCTTCCGCCTCCCCCTCATCCTGCACGCCCTTATCCGCTTCCAATATTTCCTTCCAGTTCTCCCTCTCATGCTTTCCGTCTCTGTGAATCCAGTCGCGATCAACGCCGGACCATTCTACGCCGTACGATGATGATATCCGGGACATAGACGCTCCGGGTTTCGCGGCGGCTGGTACGGTGACCCGTTTAGGGCCGAAGACTTTGGACATGGTCTAGAGTGTGCATGAATAGGATACTAACGAGCAGCCAATCTCTAGTCGACTCAAAAGCCGGGAAATTTGGACATGGTCTTGAGCGTGCACGGACAGGGTTGGAAGCGGTTGAGTCGGGTGTCAGCCTGGGGATAAGAAAGACGGAACGGTCATTGTATTATCAGGCAATGATAATGAAAATCAGGAACCTGCGGTGGTCAGAAGGGTGTTATTGCTGAACTCTCTTAGCGAACTTGAAAACTCATGGACAGGTAGGAGGTAGCGGAAAAGCGTTCAGCTAGTAAGGGGTTGCGAAGTGAATCAAGTCTTGAGACATGGAATGTGGATGAAGCAGAGAAGGGTTACAGGCCAAGGACGAATAAGAGCTCGTGGTTGTGGAATGGCGGAACCTGAGGATGCTAGTAACGCGGAAAAGTGACAAGTTTTGCGTGAAGAAGAACGGAGAGTGCTCTTTATTCTATTCCACGTCGTCAGGCTGGCGGACCTTCCATATAGAAAGCTAGTACCTTAAATACACGCCACGAAAGCCGCGAGATTAAGGTATAAAATGCACGTGGTAAAGCCCCAGCCAAGAATGTAACCAATGGGGTGACGACAGGCCAACCCGCTGCGAGGACATGAGGCCCCTGTGATTGGCGTTCCAGAGAGAGCGTTGGACCCTCGATGCCTCTGATTGGTAGTCAGACACAAATGGAGTGTGCAAGATACTAACGGAAGGTGAACTGCAGTGGTAAAGATGAAATTTAGTGTTGTGGATTGAGCAAGACAGACACTTTCTCCCTTTCCCACCTTAGCAGTATTTTTCCGCTTAGTACTACGGTTGAGTACTTTGATGTGCAATTTAGAGCGGTTTATATGCTTTGACCCGCGCTAGTCAGGAGCGTGAACAAGGGGATACATGAACTGTAAATGCACACTCTGTGGCCCCGCTCTTATCATATGTTCCGCGTGTTAGTCCGTTGATGGTACGTTGCGGTTCCGCGCGTTAGTGCACGGTAAAACGCGGTTTTGACAAGTTACTGCTTTGGACCGTATAGCACCAAACAAAACCGTTCTGCATGCATTTAGATTGAATAGGCGGTATAGCTCCTAGCACACCGTCCCGCCAGCAACCGCGCGACGCCCTGCAAAAACCAATCTCAAGGTTGCGTGATGGAAATTGTCCGCCCATCAAATCCAGCGGAGGTTCAACCAATCAGCTCGCTGTCTGCTCCGCCCTCGTGTATTTGGCGGCATTATCAAAAAGTTCCTCGGACACCCTCAAGCTTGGAGATTTGGGAGGAGGAACGAGTGATGGAGAACAGTGCGGACTCGTGGTTGGGGCAGGCCTTGTTTCGCTGGCTCTTACGATTGGCAGACGACGACACTGATGAAATCGCTGATACCGCAGGCGAAAAACTATGTGAAGTTGTATCATGCACTGATTGGCCGCGATCGGACGCGTCACCATCAATGGATGAGCCAGCGCAAGTTCAGAAGCCAATCAGGTGTAGTACGAACCAGAAGGAATGCGCAGCGCACCAAATCATCGAAAGAGGGTTTTGAAGGGTGGTGCACAGTACAGTAAAACTACTTCAATTAATGCATATACATCCCCCTAGTTCCAGGCTTGCTTGGTCTGATCTCCCATCCAATAGAGCACAGCCATAGAAAAACTGCAGCATAACACTTCTTACATACGGCCTACAATTCGTCACGTGCATTTATACTGCAATTGAGATTTACATTAGAACCAACAACCCTCGACACCCATGCCACTACCTACTAACCTCTACCACACACACACACCATTAGGTGCATGTTAAAATTCTTTACAGAACTAATAAGCTCACACTACACCCCTCCAACATGTACACCATCCACTAGTCATCTCCCCCACTCCCTCACTCCCTAACTGCTTCACACTTCACACATCCGGCCCACTGCCGAACATATCTACCACCCCTCCTGTATCCACTCATCATCTCCCCCACTCCCTCACTCCCTCACACTCCCTCCCTCACACCTCACACGTCCGGTCCGCTGCCAAACATGTCCACCATCCCTCGGAACACCTGGGCTGACAGCTCACTCGCCTCCACCAGTTCACCATCCACATTCCAAAATCCTTGTTCTCCCATGGCCTTGAATGTGAACGCTGGGGTCTGGGGGTGGGAAGTGGGGATGATGGAGGGAAAGGGGGTGAGAGGAAACACCTGTGCTGACAGCTCACTCGCCTCCACCAGTTCACCATCCACATTCCAGAAGCCCTGCTCGCCCATGGCCTTGAATGTGAACGCTGGGGTCTGTAGGTGGGGGAGGGGAAGAGATAAGGTGGGAGAGGGGTAAGGAGTTGGGGGAAGGGAGAGAACACCTGGACTGACAGCTCACTCGCCTCCACCAGTTGGCCATCCACATTTGAAAAGCCCTGTTCCCCCATGGCCTTGAATGTGAACACGCTGGGGTGTGTAGGAGTGGGGAGAGAGGGAGTAGGGGAGGGGAAAGTGGGGATGATGGAGGAGAGAGAGTGGAAGGGAAACAATAGAGATGGTATGAGATGATTTGAGATGGCGTGCAGCTTTGTGCACTGCAAAACATCCGTCTGTGAGGATAGGTACGATGCAAAATGGTGTGGGACGGTGCGAAACGGTGCAAAGCGGTGGAGCAAGCGAGTGAAAACAAAACACACCTTGTGATGCTGGACAACGTGGAAGTCGAGGGGATCTGCGCCCTTGATGGTCAGACACAGCAGCAGCTGAGAAGCGGTGTAAGTCGGTGCGTAACGGTGTGAGGAGACGCGATCTGGTGTGAGTGGGTGTGAGGCGGTGTGAAGCGGTGCTGTGAGTGAGAATCAGACCCACCTTGTGGTGCTGGACGAAGTGGAAGTCGAGGGGATCAGCTCCCTTGATGGCCAGACACAGCAGCTGCCTGCGAGTGGGTGGATAGATGGACGGACAGATTAATACATGGTCTGTATTGAGACCTTATAACAGATGGATACACAGTTTGAAATGCACCCTTGACAGCCAGACACAGTGCAAGACATCTATACTATCACAAATACACTAAAAAAATGAGCGAAAAGTATTGGAAGGAAGAAAAACACTCACTGGAGGCATTCTGCGCGCGAGCACTCGCGGATCATGATGATGTTCAAACACCAACACCTACCACTCATTGACAAGACAGAACCAGCGTCACGCTGGAGGTACTCAAAATTCCGTTACTCACTGGAGGTATTCTGCGCGTGAGCACTCGCGAATCATGATGAGGTTGAGATTCCCATCCGCCAGGTGGGCGTGTGCCGCGACGCCATCTGGCGCCTTGTCATTGCGGCAAGAGATCACCGCGCCGCCCACGCTGTGAAACCGGCCTCTCACGGTGCGCCAGCCTGGCGTCGCCTCATCCCAGGTCAGCGGCTGCGGCGAATCCGGCGCTGCCACGTCAGCATCAGCAGCTTCTAGGGGAGGAGGTGAGGAGAGCCTGTGCTTATCGGCTTCTGTGGCTGTAGCAGCAGCAGCATCAGGAGCGGCGGGAGGAGGGTGATAGGAAGGCGAAACAGCAGCGGCATCAGCAGCAGAACCAGCAGTTTCAGTATCAGCAGCAGTATCAGCAGCAGTGTCAGCAGCAGTGCGGTTGAGAGGGGTGAGAAGGGAGGCCAGACCCACAGCTGACTGTGATGGGCCTATGGCCTCGAATCCCAGGGCTGATCGCGCCAGCAGCGAGAGATCCTGGCCGTTGGCGCACACCGAGCATCCAACGGTGCAGATCTCCGGACGGGCCGTGGTGCTGATGGGACGGGGCAGGAAGAAAACGGAATGATAGGGATTGGGGCACGCATGGGGTATTGGGGTATGGGGTATGGGCCATGGGGAATGGGGGGTATGGGGCACAGGGAATGGTTGGGGCATGGGGTATGGCGTATGGGGCATGGGGTATGGTTGGGGTATGACAGGCAGGAGGCACCTTTGAGGCGCCTCAAAACGGAGGAGAGGAAGAGGCAGCAGCATCAGGTATGTGTGGGGCACCAGGGGAGAGGCAGGAGAATGAAGGGATGGGCAGGACGTGGGTGAATTGAGTTACCTTCGCCTTTGCATGGAGGGTTGATCTGGCTCAGGCACGTGGAAGAATGACACCTCTGCCTCGTATGACCTGGTTGGGGGGGTGGGAAAAGAGGCCGGGCAACACGGGCAGGAGAATAAAAGGATGAGCAGGAAGAGAGTTGAGTTACCCTCTTGTGTGCATGGAGAGTTGATCTGGCTCAGGCACGTGGAAGAATGAAACCTCTGCCTCGTATGACCTGGTGAGGGGAAGCGGGGCAGGGGCATGAAGGTGTGAATAGGCAGTGAGTGAATTTACCCTTTTCTGTGCATGGAGGGTTGATCTGGCCCAGGCACGTGGAAGAATGAAACCTCTGCGACGCATGTAAGTCATGCACCCCGCATAGTCGTATCTTGCCGGGCCCATCCCAACCCCCCATGCATTTGATCTCCCACACCCACCCACCCACCTGTGGCGCATGTAAGTCATGCACCCCGCGTAGTCGTATCTTGCCGGGCCCATCCCATCCCCCCATGCATTTGATCTCCCACACCCACCCACCTGTCCCACCCACCCACCTGTGGCGCATGTAAGTCATGCACCCCGCATAGTCGTATCTTGCAGGCCCCATCCACCGTTGCTGATTGCCCCCTTCACATTGATCCCCCCACTCGCACTTCATGTCACACCCACCCACCCACCTGTGGCGCATGTAAGTCATGCACCCCGCGTAGTCGTATCTTGCCGGCCCCATCCATCCTTGCTGATTGCCCCCTTCACATTGATCCCCCCACTCGCACTTCATGTCACACCCACCCACCCACCTGTGGCGCATGCATCCCGCGTAGTCGTATCTTGCCGGGCCCATCCATCCTTGCTGCATGCATTCGTACTCAACCCCCCCACCCACCCACCCACCCACCCACCTCACACCCACCCACCTGTGGCGCATGTAAGTCATGAATCCCGCATAGTCGTATCTGGCAGGTCCCATCCACCTCAGCGCCTCGCTCTCCTTCGTTACTGCCCCATAGAAGCCGTATCTGGGGATGGGAGGAGGTTGGGAGAAGCGGGGAAGGCGGTGGGGAAAGTCTGGTTTTGGGAGATGTCTCAAAATATAGTCAACGGTGTGGGGAAGGAAGGGGAAGAGAGGCAGGGGTCGTGTTTTGAGTCGACTCAAAGCACGAAGGTCTGGTTTTGGGAGATGTCTCAATATATGGTCAACGGCGTGGGGAAGGAAGGGGGGCAGGGGCAGGGGTAGGGAAGGAGGGAAATTATGAAGAAAGGAGGGACGGGTAATGTTGTTATTTGTTTGTGTGTTTATGTGTTACGGGTGTACACATCAAGGGACAGGGTAATTTACCCGAAGAATGACGCGGCATATCGGACATCACACTCCATCTGCTGCTCCTCGCCCTCCTTCCTGGAACCTTCCGCTGCTCCTCCCGTTGCTGCATGAATCTCTCTTCTCTCCTCTCCTGCTTCTCCTTCTCCTCTTCTTTCCTCTGCTTTTGCTGGTTGTGCTGACTCAGCAATCTCAGCTGCTGAGTCAGCGCCAACCTGGAGCCGAGTCATCGACGATTCGGACAAGGCAGAGGAGGAAGACGAGAGGGAGGAGGGGGAAGCGGGGGCGGAAGAGGAGGAGAAAGCGGGGCAGGAGGAAAGGGGAGATGCCGAAGCTAGGACGGCGGCTTGGCCCGAGGTTAAGAGTGTAGGTTCGGGTGGGAGGTTCGGCGAGAATGTAGGCTCGGAAGGGATGAGTGGTGGTTGGGATGAGAAGGCCGCCGGAGGGATGGAGGAAGGGGCGTAGGAGGAGGAGGAGGGGGAGGACGGGGAGGATGAAGAGGAGGAAGAGGAGGTGGCGGGTTTCCAGGAAGTTACCCGCACAACATCCATAGGAGTGCGTCGGCCAATCACAACATTCAGTGCTGACGTGGCGGGGTCACGGGAACCAACGAGGCTGCAGGAGGGGAAGAAAGGGTGCAGTGCGGTGACAAGGATTGAGAGGGAAGAAAGGGGTTGAGTGCGGTGACAAGAGAGGGAAGACAAGAGGGCGCAGTGCGGTGACAAGGGGTAAGCGATGACAACTGGAAGGGTATCTTGGAAGAGGAGATGGTAGGCAAAAGAGGTCCCCGTATCCCCCATATGCCCCATAGGCCCCCCCTCCGCCAACCCCCCCACCTCGTCATACCCATCAATCCCCCTCCCCCACATCATGAGTCTGTGGATTCAACTCCACTTTCCCCCTCCCCCACATCATGAGTCTGTAAATTCAACCCCAATTTCCCACTCACCTCCTTGGTCCCTCCCTTCAACCTCTCCCCCTCACCTCATGACAATGCAGTCTGTCGATCCAGCGAAAATGATCCCAATTCTCAGCCTCCTGAGCAGACACAACTCCACTCCACCACCTTCCCCCACTCCTCCCTCCCGCGCCTCACCTCATGGCAATGCAATCTCTTGATCCGGCAAGAATGGATGATCCCAATTCTCAGCCTCCTGAGCAGACACAACTCCACTCCACCACCTTCCCCCACTCCTCCCTCCCGCGCCTCACCTCATGGCAATGCAATCTCTTGATCCGGCAAGAATGGATGATCCCAATTCTCAGCCTCCTGAGCAGACACAACTCCACTCCACCACCTTCCCCCACTCCTCCCTCCCGCGCCTCACCTCATGGCAATGCAATCTCTTGATCCGGCAAGAATGGATGATCCCAATTCTCAGCCTCCTGAGCAGACACAACTCCACTCCACCACCTTCCCCCACTCCTCCCTCCCGCGCCTCACCTCATGGCAATGCAATCTCTTGATCCGGCAAGAATGGATGATCCCAATTCTCAGCCTCCTGAGCAGACACAACTCCACTCCACCACCTTCCCCCACTCCTCCCTCCCGCGCCTCACCTCATGGCAATGCAATCTCTTGATCCGGCAAGAATGGATGATCCCAATTCTCAGCCTCCTGAGCAGACACAACTCCACTCCACCACCTTCCCCCACTCCTCCCTCCCGCGCCTCACCTCATGGCAATGCAATCTCTTGATCCGGCAAGAATGGATGATCCCAATTCTCAGCCTCCTGAGCAGACACAACTCCACTCCACCACCTTCCCCCACTCCTCCCTCCCGCGCCTCACCTCATGGCAATGCAATCTCTTGATCCGGCAAGAATGGATGATCCCAATTCTCAGCCTCCTGAGCAGACACAACTCCACTCCACCACCTTCCCCCACTCCTCCCTCCCGCGCCTCACCTCATGGCAATGCAATCTCTTGATCCGGCAAGAAAGGATGATCCCAATTCTCAGCCTCCTGAGCAGACACAACTCCACTCCACCACCTTCCCCCACTCCTCCCTCCCGCGCCTCACCTCATGGCAATGCAATCTCTTGATCCGGCAAGAATGGATGATCCCAATTCTCAGCCTCCTGAGCAGACACAACTCCACTCCACCACCTTCCCCCACTCCTCCCTCCCGCGCCTCACCTCATGGCAATGCAATCTCTTGATCCGGCAAGAAAGGATGATCCCAATTCTCAGCCTCCTGAGCAGACACAACTCCACTCCACCACCTTCCCCCACTCCTCCCTCCCGCGCCTCACCTCATGGCAATGCAATCTCTTGATCCGGCAAGAATGGATGATCCCAATTCTCAGACTCCTGAGCAGACACAACTCCACTCCACCACCTTCCCCCACTCCTCCCTCCCGCGCCTCACCTCATGGCAATGCAATCTCTTGATCCGGCAAGAATGGATGATCCCAATTCTCAGCCTCCTGAGCAGACACAACTCCACTCCACCACCTTCCCCCACTCCTCCCTCCCGCGCCTCACCTCATGGCAATGCAATCTCTTGATCCGGCAAGAATGGATGATCCCAATTCTCAGCCTCCTGAGCAGACACAACTCCACTCCACCACCTTCCCCCACTCCTCCCTCCCGCGCCTCACCTCATGGCAATGCAATCTCTTGATCCGGCAAGAATGGATGATCCCAATTCTCAGCCTCCTGAGCAGACACAACTCCACTCCACCACCTTCTCCCACTCCTCCCTCCCGCGCCTCACCTCATGGCAATGCAATCTCTTGATCCGGCAAGAATGGATGATCCCAATTCTCAGCCTCCTGAGCAGACACAACTCCACTCCACCACCTTCCCCCACTCCTCCCTCCCGCGCCTCACCTCATGGCAATGCAATCTCTTGATCCGGCAAGAATGGATGATCCCAATTCTCAGCCTCCTGAGCAGACACAACTCCACTCCAACCCTCTCCCTCACCTCATGGCGGCACAGACTGCCAAAATCCAACTCTCGTGATCGCAACACTCCCCCCCCCACCCCCCCCCCCCCCCCTCACCTCATGGCAATGCAATCTGTAGAGCCAGCAGGGATGATCCCAATCCTCAGCCGCCTAGGCAGACACAACCCCACTCCGCCATCCTCCCCAAATCCTCCCTCCCTCCACTCATCCACTCCCCTTCCCCACTCCCCCACTCCTGCCCTTTCCTCCCCTTCCCCACCTTCCTCCTCCTCCCCCTCTTCCACCTCGCGCACCGTCCCCCAGTCACTCAAAAACGTTGCATTCCTGACCCCCGGACCAAAACTGCTTCGACCGAAGCTGCGCCGAGCCTGCTGCGCCTTGGGCGTCTCGTAAAACCCCTTCGCCCCACCGCCCCCCTCCTTGGGAGTCGGGAAATAATACCCACCCGAGCCGCCACTACCAGGCTTAGGAGTCTCATAGTACGATCCGGCTTTAGGAGTCGCATAGTAGCCTTTAGGAGTGTCATACCCATACCCGGCAGGAGTATTTAATCCAGCAGGGGTATTAAGGCCGTCATGGAAATTAAAGACACCAGGAGTCTCTAAACCAGGAGTATTTAACCCTGCAGGGATGTCCAAACCCCTGCCGCCTCCTCTCGGCGAATCATCGCCGTCCACGTCAGCATGCCCCCCGCCGGTTTGCCCGAATGTGTGTGTGCCCTTGTCATTATTGCGTCGCCAGTTGTTCAAATTCAACCCCGCAGCAGCCAACCACCCCTTGCTCCCCACTCGCTTCCTCCCCTCCCTTCCTCCCTCCTCCCCCTCCTCCTCGTCCTCCCCTCCTCTCTCCTCTCCGCTCTCCTTCCCGTCTCCTCTCTTTTTCACTTCACATGGCTGCCCTGCGCTGCCCATGTCCAGGTTCACTGCACCTGCCGCCTCCAACTCGCTCTCCTGCCTGCAAAACCTGCCGAGCGTCAGCTTCCTCACCAAACCTGGAGCGCAGGCTCGGTCCGAACCTGCGGGGCCAACACCTGCACCACCAGCAGCGCCAACATCATCAGCATAAGCAGTGTCGCCATCTGAAACAACTACACGCTCCTGGGATTCCTTCTCCTCTCCCCCCTCTTCCTCCTCCTCCTCCTCCTCCTCCTCCTCCTCCTCCTCCCTCTCCTCCTCTTCTTCTTTCTCTGCTGTCGTGGCACCCTGCCACGCTGGCAGCTGCTCCAAATCGCCTCCTGCTCCCGAATCGGCTCCCAAACCGCCTCCTATTCCCAATCCACCTCTTAATCTGAAATCCCCTGCGCCTACCCCATTATCCTTAGCCAGTCTAGCTCTATTCGATCCACACTCCTCCTTCCCTGCGCTCCCAATCCTTCCCCTCTCGCTCCCGCTTCTGCCGGCACCGCATGGGGCGGTGGAGGGCGGCGGGAGGCGCAGGCGCGCGGGGCGCACGCACGGAAAGGCGCGATGGCGCCGCCTCGCCAGCCCGTTGAGCGCCTCGTTGAACAGCCCGTCGCCGCCCTGACGGTGGGGGGGAGGGGGAAGGGGGGGAATGGGAGTTGGGATTGGTTGGGATGGGTTGCGAGCGGTACAGCACTTCAGCGCCTCGCCAGCCCGTTTGGCGCCTCGTTGAACAGCCCGTCGCCGCAGTGGGGCAGCGGGTTGGAATGGAAGGGTTTAAAGGGTTGCAAAACAGCATCAGTACTTGGCCTCGTTGAACAGCGTGCGACTGTGTGTGCGACTGTGTGTGCGACGCTGCGTGCGACTGTGTGTGCGACTCACCACGACGATGATGCCGTCGAGCTGGCAGAGCTCCTTGTCCGACGCGTTCTGCAGCATGTCGCGCGCGTGGTTGCGACGGCTGGTTACCACCACCTGCAACCAACGAAACAATTGCGAATGAGAAAATTCGTTATTATTGTTCGTACGTGCAATCTTACGACAACCAAAACGCCCAAAATTTCTCTACGCGGAGAAGGACGCGCGATTGGTGCTTGCTGCTGCTACTGTTCGCCATAAAACTTTCTGTGGTAACCACAGGCTCACCTGCACGGCGACTCCTGCGCGATCGAACACGGGTCGAACCGCCTCCCATGTCTTTAATCCCTTCTTCCGCCCGCCAGTAGGGTTCACGAACACTAAGAGGCTCCTAGGGCGCTCCGGGTCGGCGCGCAGCAGCGAGAGGATGCGGTCCGACCACTGCTGGCACACGTCAGCGTTGGCGTGGCAGAAGACGAGCTTGAGCGGCATCCAACGGTCGGCGGAGCGGCGGAACGTGTGCACCGCGAATTGATGCATCTGCGCGCGCGCGGGGAGTTGGGGGGCGGAGGGTGGGGGGTGGGGGAGGGGGTGGGAGATTTGGGTGAATACAAGAGCACGGGGAATACTCGAAAGGGAGCGGAGCGGCGGAACGTGTGCACCGCGAATTGATGCATCTGCCCTCGACGGGGGGAAGCCGGGGAGAGTGCGGGGGGAGGGGAGCGGATGAGAGGCGGAGGGAAGGGGTGGAGGGCAGGGAAGGGGAAAGCAAGGGTAAGATATGCGGGAAGGGGTGAGGGGAGGGGGGAGGAGGAAGCGGGGGAGAGGGGGGAGGACGAGGTCCAGAGTGAACGGGGGCGACGATAGCAGCGGATGAGGACAAGTTGGCGCCAGCCGCGCACTTTTCGCGCGCTCCCCTCGCGCATATCTCTCATTCGCTTGTCAGCGTTGCCGTCGAACACGGGGGCTCCTTCCGCCTATCTCCTTCCGCGGGGAGCCCTTCTCGTCAGAGGCTATTTGGTCCCGAGTCCGTCAAGAAAAAATCACCAAAATCCTTATTGCAGTGTTGTATCACCAGAGTGTACCTTAACGGGACTCGCAAAGAAGCTGCTCTTAACGGATGCCTCTGGGAGCATTTCAACGGCGTAGATTTCGTTGATGGGTGCTGAGCTTGCATTTGGTTGTCCCAGGCCGCAGTCGTGGCACGGATTGGTTGCAGGGCACCCCTGAGCGGAGATCACGGAAAGAGATATGGAATGGGAAAAGAAACAATGAGAGAGGTCTGAAAAAGGGGTAAGGAGGGGGATAGGAATAGGGAGCAAGGATAGAGCGGGAGTCAATTGAGTCGACTAAAAAAACACCTCCGAGGGGTAGGAATAAGGAAGTGGGATGAAGGTGGTCTATGTAACCGAGGCAGGATTCGACGGAGGAGAAAAGACGGACGAGAACCGACGGAGAAAATTGACGGAGGAGGAAATGACGAACGAAGAGATGGCAGCGAGAATTGACGGCAATGTGACGAAATGTGTCTGCGCCGTTAGCGACGGAGTCCTCGAACCATTTCTCATTTACGTACGAAGGCTAACGGATACCGCGAGTGGAAACGGACGCAGGGCGATAAGGCTGGCCTGTCATTCCTGGATTGACCCACTTATTCAGTACCTACAGACTGATACAGCACCTGCTGGCCACCTGTAAATTCATTATAAGCTCGTCTTGAGTCTTGCTATTTTTAGTAGCTACCTGACTCGCGGATTCGTCCACTCTGTGCCACACAATCCCGTCGACCATGAGCGCGGCGCGGACGTGGCCGGAATTCGGAATTAAGAATGACTCTTCCAGCAGCGTGTCTCGAGCCGTGCCGCCATTCTTGCCGGCCGCCGTCCCCCCATGCCATCCGGTCCTTCCGCGCCGTCCGTCCACGTCACTAGCGCTTCGCGACATTACGGCAATATCTGGGGCGTGCTTGAAGCCCAGGTCTACGTCTACCATTCCCCCATCGCACTCACTAGTCATGGAAATGAAAAAAGTAAACGCCTTATCTGTCAGAAGAAAGGCGCAACACGAGCTACAGTATCGTACCCCTCCCACAGCCAGCTGTCAGACTGCCAGAAATGCTTGCCAGAGCTTGCCTGTTCGCACAGCAACCAGCCCAATCGCGTCTGGCCTAGTGGAATGCGAAGGGGAAGGAATGGGTGGAGGAGCGGTCCAGACGCAAAAATCCGTGAGGGGGGTGAAGGAGACGTGTGTGCTTTTGGCCGCGAAATGCATTTCAAGCTCCACGCGAGCAGGGAAAGCACGAAGAGAAGCAGAGGGGAGGGGAGGGCGCGAGCGAGCAAGCGAGCGAGGTGCCGCGGTGGTGCTTGTTTTGGGGGCGGTGTGGAGCTGGGTGAGGAGGAGTGCAGCGGGACGGAGCGGGGCGGAGCGGAGCAATTCCGCGCGTGAGAGAAACGGCGGTGACTTGTGAAACGTACATACCACGAGGGGGCTCGACGAGTTGGGGGATGGCGCAACGGGTGGGGGAAATGGCGCGACAAGTGGAGAAAATGGCGCAACGGGTGGGGGAATGGCGCGAAGTTTTCAGTGCAAGGTTGGGGAATTGGGGCGAGCAGATTCGTTGGTGGGACAACAGCGGGGCGAGTTTGGGTTGGGTTGGGTGAGGGAAATCCGCAGCGCCAGGGGGAAAGTTCGCTCTGTGGAAGAAATTCACTTTCGGGCAAGCCCGGCCAACGAGACTTGTGACATGCGTGAAATTGGAACAGGCAGGGAGTGAAAGTGACGCCTGATTCGTTTGAGAGTTGTGACGCGTTACATGACACCAGTCACATGACACGAGTCACATGACATGACCTTGACACATGTGTGACGGGACAAACTTGTGGGGCTGGGGGACGAAATGCAGGGCACTTTGCGCCGAACGCGGTGGGAGTATGAGTGGAAAATGGCGGGAAATAGGAGGAAAGCGGTTGCCGCCGACCGCCCTATGTAGGGGACAGGCCTGGAAAAGGAAAGGTCGCTAGTTACATCACATGCATCCTGTTTGCAGGTAGGTCTCTGGGGGAAAGTGATTGTTGGTGGGACGGTGGATGGATGTTGCACAGTTCATCTGATCGCAGTTCATCTTATCGTTACGCATCCACTGTTCTTTGGCAGCACACCATCACTTGCATCACTGATGGTCGTCGCCTTTCACCATGGTCCATCATCCTTCATCAATGTCATGCCCGAAAGTGGTTGGGAAAGACGGGCAGATAGAAATAGCCGTTTTAGGGGGAATCGACCCGCAATTGCGGAGTCAAACGGTCCGCGGTCAGCTTACTCACCAATTCCAAAGTACCTGCAAAACGAGTTCCTCCGCTCCGCCGCAAGCCTACATGCAAGGTTTTGCTTTTCAAAAAGCGCTTCCCGTAAACCGCGGAGAACCCAAAGTTTTTCAGAAAACCCGATAACATGGCAATACTTTCAACCACACATGCAATCCCAGTTCCATCCACGTCAAGAGGCCGTTCCCAAGACGAGCGACTGAAGTGATAAATCTACCTGGTATATATCAAGAGAATTAACATAAGGAAACATATAAGGAAACTGAATAGGCAACACTTTTCATCAATTATCACTGGGTACTTTACACTAGCTTTACACAATCCTAAAACTGACCTTTTGCCACATGTATTTGACACCCTGGACTTCCAGTCAGTCAAACAAGCTGCTCTGTATGAATTAAGGAACCCAAAAGCATGTGGGACACAAGCAGCTCCGACCCAGATGAGCGAAATGCATGGAGCAAAAAACATTGCTCAGCACAAACGAGTGCATAAAACAGTCTCAGCATGGCAACTGGTGACAATGGTGGCGAAAGCTAGTTCCTGATCCAGTGCGGTTGAAAGCGGTGCCTGCAGGCATCTTATTTGCTGGAGGGAGGCGGCCCTGCAGCCACAGCAGCAACAGCAGCCGCTGCTGCAGCCTCGGCAACAAGATCCTTCCTGGAAGCATCCCACATCTGCTGCTCCAGGTTCAGCTTGCGGACCTCCATAAGCCCGCGCTCCGCTGGTGACATCATCATGACATCACAGTAACATCAGCATGACACCAGCATCAGTCAGATAAGAGAGATGAACAGGGAAGGGGAGGGAAGGGGGGGCAAAGGGGGGTGCGGAGGAGAGGCGTTTAGTTAGTGTGTGTCAGATAATGCATGCGTGTTCTATACTCATCTTGCGTGTGAGCACTATGCATGTATTACACTACACACATGTGTGTGTATGATTCAACATAAATGAGCACAAACATGCACACACACACACACACACACACACACACACACACACACATACACACACACATGCACACACACACATGCACACACACACACACATGCACATGTACACACACACATGCACACACACACACACACACATGCACAGACACACACACATGCACATGTACACACACACACACACACACACACACACACAGAGGAGGGAGCTTCACGGTGCTCCTGGAGATCCAGCACACCAGCCTCTCTGCTGCAATGTCCGGCTCCGCCTTGTGCTCCCTCCACCAGTTTCCTAAAATACCTGACTACCTTCCCTGACCCGGTTACCCTGCCAGCACACCCTTACAGCCCATTATCTCACCATCCACAGCATCGTGCGCAGAGGGCTTCACAGTGCTCCTGGAAATCCAGTACGCTAGCTGCTCATCTCTACCTTGACTCTCTTGACTCTCTTGACTCCATGGACTCCATTGACTCTCTTGACTCCATTGACTCCATTGACTCTCTTGACTCCATTGACTCCATTGTCTCCATTGACTCTCTTGACTCTCTTGACTCACCATCGACAGCATCGTGCGCAGTCGGTTTCACAGTGCTCCTGGAGATCCAGTACGCCAGCCGCTCTGCCGCAATGTCCGGCTCCACCTTGTGGTCGCGTGCCCGCCGCCACCAGTACACCAGCCAGTTCTGCTTGAACCTCACGTCCTCCACCTCCTCATCACTCAGATCTGCATGGGGTTAGGTTGGGAGGAGAAGAGAGGGACAAGGTTAGGCTCCACCTTGTGGTCGCGTGCCCGCCGCCACCAGTACACCAGCCAGTTCTGCTTGAACCTCACGTCCTCCACCTCCTCATCACTCAGATCTGCATGGGGTTAGGTTGGGAGGAGAAGAGAGGGACAAGGTTAGGCTCCACCTTGTGGTCGCGTGCCCGCCGCCACCAGTACACCAGCCAGTTCTGCTTGAACCTCACGTCCTCCACCTCCTCATCACTCAGATCTGCATGGGGTTAGGTTGGGAGGAGAAGAGAGGGACAAGGTTAGGCTCCACCTTGTGGTCCCGCGCCCGCCGCCACCAGTACACCAGCCAGTTCTGCTTGAACCTCACGTCCTCCACCTCCTCGTCGCTCAGGTCTGCACGGGTAGAAGGCAAGGGGAGGGAAGAAAGTAGTAAGAGGGTGAAAGAGACACCTTGTGGTCGCGTGCCCGCCACCACCAGCACACCAGCCAGTTCTGCTTGAACCTCACGTCCTCCACCTCCTCGTCGCTCAGGTCTGAAAGCATGAGGGAGCGAGGAATGGGAAACAATATGGATTGGAACAGGGTTCAACGGACGAGGGAGGAGTGATGGATGGATCAATGAACAGAAACGAAGAGAAAGGACAGATGGACGAGGGGGGAAGACAGGTACAAGTGAGGGGCCGCAGAGCATAGCATGGAAGGAGGGAGGCAAGGCAGAAAGTGAGGGAGGCAAGGCAAGGGGTCGAAGGATGGAAGGAGGGAGGCAAGGCAGAAAGTGAGAAAGGAATATCAGGAAACTACAACAGATCGACTGTTATTCCTTTGCTAAAAGTTTCTTTTTAGACTGCTGCTTGCCTAACTTCATGGCTGAAGGTCGAAGGATGGAAGGAGGGAGGCAAGGCAGAAAGTGAGAAAGGAATATAAGGGACGAAGGAAGGATGGAGCACGGGAGAAGGGGAGGGAGGTAGTGAGGGAGGGAGGTAGGGAGGGAGGGAGGTTGGGAGGGAGGGAGGTAGGGCAGAGGAACTCACCCATAGACTCGACCATCCTTGGACCCTCTTCAGCAGCTGCACCCACCGACAGAGGGAGAGAGAGGGAGAGGAGAAAGAGGAGATGTGGACATGAGCTGCAAGACTTCTCAGTATCCCACCCATAGACTCGACCATCCGTGGACCCTCTTCGGCAGCTGCACCCACAGACAGAGGGGACAAGAGGGAGAGGAGAAAGTTGGTGGTTAGGTTAGACGTGAATGAAAAGATAAAGGAGAGGTGGTGAGGCTCAGGAGAGAGAGCTGCTAGGTAGGGATGGGACTAGGAGAGAGCTGCTAGGTAGGGATGGGACTAGGAGAGAGCTGCTAGGTAGGGATGGGACTAGGAGAGAGCTGCTAGGTAGGGATGGGACTAGGAGAGAGCTGCTAGGTAGGGATGGGACTAGGAGAGAGCTGCTAGGTAGGGATGGGACTAGGAGAGAGCTGCTAGGTAGGGATGGGACTAGGAGAGAGCTGCTAGGTAGGGATGGGACTAGGAGAGAGCTGCTAGGTAGGGATGGGACTAGGAGAGAGCTGCTAGGTAGGGATGGGACTAGGAGAAGGATAGTCACGGAGTGCACTTTGAGCAGCACGGGGCCGCAGTGCTGTGCCATAGTCAGCAGCAGCACTCCCTCCTCCACCTTGAGAGCTGAAAACCCTCCTCCACGCTAGAGACAGACAGTCTGCTTACCAAAAGAGCGTGGAGACTCCTAAAGAGTGGAGTGCATTTTCAGAAGGGCAGGGTGGCGGCGCTGTGCCATGGCGAGCAACACGCCCTCCTCCACCTTGCAAGCAGATAAACCCCCTATAGGCAGTCCCCTTACCTGAAGGAGCGGAGTGCACTTTGAGCAGAGCCGGGCGGCGGTGCTGCGCCATGGCCAGCAGCACTCCCTCCTATAGGCAACCCCCTATAGGCAGTCCCCTTACTCCTCCACCTTGAGCGCCGCCAGGTCTCTGAGTGCCTTCTCATCCCACCGCCTCATCTGTACCCAAAAGCACCCCCCTCCTCCACCTTGAGCGCTGGTAACTCGTTATAAACAGGTTCCTTACCTGACGGTGCCGAGTGCACTTTGAGCAGTGCGGGGCGGCGGTGCTGGGCCATGGCGAGCAGCACCCCCTCCTCCACCTTGAGCGCCGCCAGGTCTCTGAGGGCCTTCTCCACCTGAAACATGCTCTCTATGTTGCTCTCCGTGCCCACCGCCGCTGGTTTGTCCTCTGGGGGAACAAAGGAGGGGAGATGACGAGGTGATGGGAGAGGAAGAGGGGGTTGGGGTTGCCTCAGCAGCCAGACCACCTTGAGAGCCGCCAGGTCTCTGAGTGCCTTCTCCACCTGAAACATGCTCTCTATGTTGCTCTCCGTGCCCACCGTCGCCGGCTTGTCCTCTGTGGGAGGGGTGGGAGGAGGTAGTGGGAATTGAAGGGAGAGAAGCGGGGGATGGATGAGGAGAAAAAGGTTCCACAAGCCTCCTTGGCCAAAAACTTTTCCAAGGCCTGGGTACCCAGCCAGCCCTACACATTTTTCCTTCTGTCTGCCTCATTCTCCCAACCTCCCACCACAACACACCCCGTACTGGTGACTCACCCTTCTTCTCCCCATGCAACTCATGCAGCACTCCAACAATCACCACTTCAAAAAGTATTTCAACGCCCTTCCCCATGCGGTCAGCTCTTCCCGAACCCCCTTCCCCTTACATGGAGGCGCCTCAAGAATTACTTCAACATATCAGCTTTTCCCCGTTCTCCCCTTTCTCTCCCCACTCATATCACCTTTCTTCCAGTTGGGCCACAACCTAACACAGCCGCGCCTCACCTTTCTCCCCGCCGTCGGGCTCCTCCCGGGCCTTCCTGCCTGCATCAATGACCACCTCGAAGGGCAGAGAAGCACAAGCACCCCTCCCTCGCCTTCCCTCCCCCTCTCTCTCTCTCTCTCTCTCACCTTTCTCCCCGCCGTCGGGCTCCTCCTGGGCCTTCCTGCCCGCGTCAATGACCACCTCGAAGGGCAAAGGCGAGTACTTCTACTTACCCGCCATCCCTCTTTTCCCCCCTCCCCTTCCTTGCCCCTCACACAACCGCGCCTCACCTTTCTCGCCACCGTCAGGCTCCTCCCGGGCCTTCCTGCCCGCGTCAATGACCACCTCGAAGGGCAGAGGAGAGTACTTCTGCCAGTGGTCGCTGCGAGAGCTGGCGATCTCCGCATGCACACCTGAAGAAGGGAGGAGGAGGTGGAGGGGAGGAGTGGGGAGGGGAAAAGAGGGGAGATGAGATGAGATGAGATGAGATGCATCATTCACCACCTCCCTTCAAAAGGGCAGAGGCGAGTACTTCTGCCAGTGGTCGCTGCGAGAGCTGGCGATCTCCGCATGCACACCTGGTTCGATTAGGAAGAGAGAGAGAGGCAGTGAGTGCGGGGAGGAAAGGGAAAGGTGGGAGGGGGAGAAAGAGAGGGGAGATGTGTCGATGACAATGACCACCTCGAAGGGCAGAGGCGAGTACTTCTGCCAGTGGTCGCTGCGGGAGCTAGCGATCTCCGCATGCACGCCTGGAGAGGGGAGAGAGAGCAAGAGAGACAGAAAAGAGAAGGGAGGGGGAGGACAGGGAGAGTTGGGCGGGTGAAGAGGAGATGTGATGTGTCAATGACCAGTTAGAAGGGCAGAGGCGAGTACTTCTGCCAGTGGTTGCTGCGAGAGCTGGCGATCTCAGCATGCATGCCTGGATTAGTAGAAGGGAGGAGGAGGGAAGGAGTTGGGAGGGAAAAAGAGGAGTGGAGATGCATTAACCACCACTCCCTACGTCCATTTGTGAGGGTCAGAGGCGAGTACTTCTCCCAGTGGTCGCTGCGGTAGCTGGCAATCTCAGCATAAATAAGAGCTAAGCTGTGCAGAACATCAATTTACCGTGGCGAGAGGCCAGCGCCCAGTAGCGCGCGAGCCAGCAGCGCTTGAGCACCACCTCCTCCTTCTCCTCGGGAGTGAGCAGAATGCGCGCCGTGAGGCTCCTCAGCGCCCTCACCTCCTCACTCGCCTGCCTTGCCTCCTCCAACGCTGCTGCCGCCTCCTCCCTCTGGGACTGCAGGAACGCACTCATGGGTGGGTGGGATGGGTGGGTGGGATGGGTGAGTGGGATGGGTGCATGGGAGGGAAGGCATGGGAGGGAAGGCATGGGAGGGAAGGCATGGAAAGGCAGGTATGGAAGGGCATGAGAGGTATGCTCCAGTCTGCAGAGCACAGTACAGTGCCAGTTTTTGAGTCGACTCATGGGTGGGTGGGATGGGTGGGTGGGATGGGTGAGTGGGATGGGTGAGTGGGATGGGTGAGTGGGATGGGTGGGTGGGATGGGTGCATGGGAGGGAAGGCATGGGAGGGAAGGCATGGGAGGGAAGGCATGGGAGGGAAGGCATGGAAAGGCAGGTATGGAAGGGCATGAGAGGTATGCTCCAGTCTGCAGAGCACAGTACAGTGCCAGTTTTTGAGTCGACTCATGGGTGGGTGGGATGGGTGGGTGGGATGGGTGAGTGGGATGGGTGAGTGGGATGGGTGAGTGGGATGGGTGAGTGGGATGGGTGAGTGGGATGGGTGAGTGGGATGGGTGGGTGGGATGGGTGAGTGGGATGGGTGAGTGGGATGGGTGAGTGGGATGGGTGGGTGGGATGGGTGCATGGGAGGGAAGGCATGGGAGGGAAGGCATGGGAGGGAAGGCATGGGAGGGAAGGCATGGGAGGGAAGGCATGGAAAGGCAGGTATGGAAGGGCATGAGAGGTATGCTCCAGTCTGCAGAGCACAGTACAGTGCCAGTTTTTGAGTCGACTCATGGGTGGGTGGGATGGGTGGGTGGGATGGGTGAGTGGGATGGGTGAGTGGGATGGGTGAGTGGGATGGGTGAGTGGGATGGGTGAGTGGGATGGGTGAGTGGGATGGGTGGGTGGGATGGGTGAGTGGGATGGGTGAGTGGGATGGGTGAGTGGGATGGGTGGGTGGGATGGGTGCATGGGAGGGAAGGCATGGGAGGGAAGGCATGGGAGGGAAGGCATGGAAAGGCAGGTATGGAAGGGCATGAGAGGTATGCTCCAGTCTGCAGAGCACAGTACAGTGCCAGTTTTTGAGTCGACTCATGGGTGGGTGGGATGGGTGGGTGGGATGGGTGAGTGGGATGGGTGAGTGGGATGGGTGAGTGGGATGGGTGAGTGGGATGGGTGAGTGGGATGGGTGAGTGGGATGGTGGGTGGGATGGGTGAGTGGGATGGGTGAGTGGGATGGGTGAGTGGGATGGGTGAGTGGGATGGGTGAGTGGGATGGGTGGGTGGGATGGGTGAGTGGGATGGGTGAGTGGGATGGGTGAGTGGGATGGGTGAGTGGGATGGGTGGGTGGGATGGGTGCATGGGAGGGAAGGCATGGGAGGGAAGGCATGGGAGGGAAGGCATGGAAAGGCAGGTATGGAAGGGCATGAGAGGTATGCTCCAGTCTGCAGAGCACAGTACAGTGCCAGTTTTTGAGTCGACTCATGGGTGGGTGGGATGGGTGGGTGGGATGGGTGAGTGGGATGGGTGAGTGGGATGGGTGAGTGGGATGGGTGAGTGGGATGGGTGAGTGGGATGGGGTGAGTGGGATGGGTGGGTGGGATGGGTGAGTGGGATGGGTGAGTGGGATGGGTGAGTGGGATGGGTGAGTGGGATGGGTGAGTGGGATGGGTGGGTGGGATGGGTGAGTGAGTGGGATGGGTGAGTGGGATGGGTGAGTGGGATGGGTGGGTGGGATGGGTGCATGGGAGGGAAGGCATGGGAGGGAAGGCATGGGAGGGAAGGCATGGAAAGGCAGGTATGGAAGGGCATGAGAGGTATGCTCCAGTCTGCAGAGCACAGTACAGTGCCAGTTTTTGAGTCGACTCATGGGTGGGTGGGATGGGTGGGTGGGATGGGTGAGTGGGATGGGTGAGTGGGATGGGTGAGTGGGATGGGTGAGTGGGATGGGTGAGTGGGATGGGTGAGTGGGATGGGTGGGTGGGATGGGTGAGTGGGATGGGTGAGTGGGATGGGTGAGTGGGATGGGTGAGTGGGATGGGTGAGTGGGATGGGTGGGTGGGATGGGTGAGTGGGATGGGTGAGTGGGATGGGTGAGTGGGATGGGTGAGTGGGATGGGTGGGTGGGATGGGTGCATGGGAGGGAAGGCATGGGAGGGAAGGCATGGGAGGGAAGGCATGGAAAGGCAGGTATGGAAGGGCATGAGAGGTATGCTCCAGTCTGCAGAGCACAGTACAGTGCCAGTTTTTGAGTCGACTCATGGGTGGGTGGGATGGGTGGGTGGGATGGGTGAGTGGGATGGGTGAGTGGGATGGGTGAGTGGGATGGGTGAGTGGGATGGGTGAGTGGGATGGGTGAGTGGGATGGGTGGGTGGGATGGGTGAGTGGGATGGGGTGAGTGGGATGGGTGAGTGGGATGGGTGAGTGGGATGGGTGAGTGGGATGGGTGGGTGGGATGGGTGAGTGGGATGGGTGAGTGGGATGGGTGAGTGGGATGGGTGAGTGGGATGGGTGGGTGGGATGGGTGCATGGGAGGGAAGGCATGGGAGGGAAGGCATGGGAGGGAAGGCATGGAAAGGCAGGTATGGAAGGGCATGAGAGGTATGCTCCAGTCTGCAGAGCACAGTACAGTGCCAGTTTTTGAGTCGACTCATGGGTGGGTGGGATGGGTGGTGGGATGGTGATGGGTGAGTGGGATGGGTGAGTGGGATGGGTGAGTGGGATGGGTGAGTGGGATGGGTGAGTGGGATGGGTGAGTGGGATGGGTGGGTGGGATGGGTGAGTGGGATGGGTGGGTGGGATGGGTGAGTGGGATGGGTGAGTGGGATGGGTGAGTGGGATGGGTGAGTGGGATGGGTGAGTGGGATGGGTGAGTGGGATGGGTGGGTGGGATGGGTGAGTGGGATGGGTGAGTGGGATGGGTGAGTGGGATGGGTGAGTGGGATGGGTGAGTGGGATGGGTGGGTGGGATGGGTGAGTGGGATGGGTGAGTGGGATGGGTGAGTGGGATGGGTGAGTGGGATGGGTGAGTGGGATGGGTGAGTGGGATGGGTGAGTGGGATGGGTGAGTGGGATGGGTGAGTGGGATGGGTGAGTGGGATGGGTGAGTGGGATGGGTGAGTGGGATGGGTGGGTGGGATGGGTGAGTGGGATGGGTGAGTGGGATGGGTGAGTGGGATGGGTGAGTGGGATGGGTGAGTGGGATGGGTGAGTGGGATGGGTGAGTGGGATGGGTGAGTGGGATGGGTGAGTGGGATGGGTGAGTGGGATGGGTGAGTGGGATGGGTGAGTGGGATGGGTGGGTGGGATGGGTGAGTGGGATGGGTGAGTGGGATGGGTGGGTGGGATGGGTGAGTGGGATGGGTGAGTGGGATGGGTGGGTGGGATGGGTGAGTGGGATGGGTGAGTGGGATGGGTGGGTGGGATGGGTGAGTGGGATGGGTGAGTGGGATGGGTGAGTGGGATGGGTGAGTGGGATGGGTGGGTGGGATGGGGTGCATGGGAGGGAAGGCATGGGAGGGAAGGCATGGGAGGGAAGGCATGGGAGGGAAGGCATGGAAAGGCAGGTATGGAAGGGCATGAGAGGTATGCTCCAGTCTGCAGAGCACAGTACAGTGCCAGTTTTTGAGTCGACTCATGGGGGATGGGTGGGGATGGGTGGGTGGGATGGGTGAGTGGGATGGGTGAGTGGGATGGGTGAGTGGGATGGGTGAGTGGGATGGGTGAGTGGGATGGGTGAGTGGGATGGGTGGGTGGGATGGGTGAGTGGGATGGGTGAGTGGGATGGGTGAGTGGGATGGGTGAGTGGGATGGGTGAGTGGGATGGGTGGGTGGGATGGGTGAGTGGGATGGGTGAGTGGGATGGGTGAGTGGGATGGGTGAGTGGGATGGGTGGGTGGGATGGGTGCATGGGAGGGAAGGCATGGGAGGGAAGGCATGGGAGGGAAGGCATGGAAAGGCAGGTATGGAAGGGCATGAGAGGTATGCTCCAGTCTGCAGAGCACAGTACAGTGCCAGTTTTTGAGTCGACTCATGGGTGGGTGGGATGGGTGGGTGGGATGGGTGAGTGGGATGGGTGAGTGGGATGGGTGAGTGGGATGGGTGAGTGGGATGGGTGAGTGGGATGGGTGAGTGGGATGGGTGGGTGGGATGGGTGAGTGGGATGGGTGAGTGGGATGGGTGAGGTGGGATGGGTGAGTGGGATGGGTGGGTGGGATGGTGAGTGGGATGGGTGAGTGGGATGGGTGAGTGGGATGGGTGAGTGGGATGGGTGGGTGGGATGGGTGCATGGGAGGGAAGGCATGGGAGGGAAGGCATGGGAGGGAAGGCATGGAAAGGCAGGTATGGAAGGGCATGAGAGGTATGCTCCAGTCTGCAGAGCACAGTACAGTGCCAGTTTTTGAGTCGACTCATGGGTGGGTGGGATGGGTGGGTGGGATGGGTGAGTGGGATGGGTGAGTGGGATGGGTGAGTGGGATGGGTGAGTGGGATGGGTGAGTGGGATGGGTGAGTGGGATGGGTGGGTGGGATGGGTGAGTGGGATGGGTGAGTGGGATGGGTGAGTGGGATGGGTGAGTGGGATGGGTGAGTGGGATGGGTGGGTGGGATGGGTGAGTGGGGATGGGTGAGTGGGATGGGTGGGTGGGATGGTGAGTGGATGGTGGGATGGGTCATGGGAGGGAAGGCATGGGAGGGAAGGCATGGGAGGGAAGGCATGGAAAGGCAGGTATGGAAGGGCATGAGAGGTATGCTCCAGTCTGCAGAGCACAGTACAGTGCCAGTTTTTGAGTCGACTCATGGGTGGGTGGGATGGGTGGGTGGGATGGGTGAGTGGGATGGGTGAGTGGGATGGGTGAGTGGGATGGGTGAGTGGGATGGGTGAGTGGGATGGGTGAGTGGGATGGGTGGGTGGGATGGGTGAGTGGGATGGGTGAGTGGGATGGGTGAGTGGGATGGGTGAGTGGGATGGGTGAGTGGGATGGGTGGGTGGGATGGGTGAGTGGGATGGGTGAGTGGGATGGGTGAGTGGGATGGGTGAGTGGGATGGGTGG